GGTTTTGCACATACAAAAATTTTCTGCAATACATAATAACTTTGTATAGCATGTCATGCTATAGGTTTCTGTTCAAAGTGTTGCATCAGCAAGGGAAAGCAAAATGCATAAGAAGGGACGCAGAGGATTTGAACATTTTTCTGCCAGGTAAGTTTCTGTTTAGTTTTCTTTTGTATGGTTGATGCTAGTTTGGGTGTTTTGGGAAATTAAGGTGTTAAGCTAGCTGATGGCTGATCTTGACATAACAGGGAGTACTATGTAATACCAAGGAGTAGTGGTCGACAGAAGTAATTGAAAAACTAGTTTAGCCATACAAAGTAACACAGAAGGATACAGAGTATTATGATTAACATATTTTTAGAAAGATAAAAGTGTTAAAAAGGAATTATTATACTTTGTAAAAGAAAAGGGAACTTAATTGAGAAGCTAACAAATGAAAGGCTAAAAACAAGCAACTTGCTTACAAAATAAGCAATTCCAGTTCCAATTCCAATTCTAACAACAACAACAATGATAATACTCCCTCCGTCCCGGGGTATTTTTCCATTTTTTACTTTTTTTTGTCAAGACTAGCAAACTTTGACCCCAAATTAAATAAAAATGATATTAGATATTGATACAAAAAGAGTTTCATTAGATTTATCATGTAAAATATTTTCAAAATATTGTTTTATCTAATTAATATATAATATATATTTTATTTAATTATAGGTCAAAAGTTGAAAATGGTTGACTGAAAAAAGTCAAAACTGGACAAATACTTTGGGACAGAGGTTGTAGTAATAGTGGTTTTAATAATAATAATAATAATAAGAAGAAGAAGAATAATAATAATAATAAATACAATGGGGTTCTTGTAACAGCAAACCATTACAACAAGGGTTAGAGCATCTCCAACGTGTAGTGTAAAAATTGGTAGTGTAAATTTCATATCACACTATCAACAGTGTTTTACATATCTACTTTTTTATAGAATTTATACTTACTCCAACCATATCTTCTATATAATACGCTTTTATAATATTTTATTATTTTAAGTTAATTATTATATATATATTTTTAAAAAGAAGATGACGGCAGGAGCTTTATATATAAGAAAACAAAGAAGAGGGAAGGAAAGAAGCAAAAAAGTAAAAAAAATAATTTCTTATTCTTTCCACTATCTATAGTAAACTTGTAGAAATACACTTTGGAAAATGTTTTTTACACTACATTGCATTTTACCACTTGGTTTACCCTATCCACTGGAGTGCCAAAAAAGTAACATTAAATTGCATATAGTGTATATTTTACCATTGACACTACACCTTGGAGATGCTCTTACGGTGCTCCGATAAAAAAGTTGATGGTTCCTACCCCCTTCCCGCCACTCCCCTGCCCCTTGCCCAAAACGCCAATTGGCAAGATTAACACTGTTGCCCATCGGCATTTTGGGGATGGGGGGGGGTGTTTAGGGGGGTAGGAGCCATCAATTTTTTGATCGGAGCACTATAGCCCTTGTTGTCAAAAGAAGGGAGCCGATTCCTTGATAATCATAATGAATTATGTTGCAGAATCCTCAACCTTGCCCCAACCTATACCCTCTCAGAATCGTGTTTGTATGAAAGGAAGAGGCAAGGCTGAGGAAAAGGTTGGATTTTGTTTTGCATTTTTCTAATCGTAATGCATCTCTCGTTCATCGTTTGCTACTTCTTCAGCAAGACAGGTGTAACCGGAGTGGACTTGGTGAAGTTGTTTGGCAATAAGAACAGCGTAGTTCGGTAAGATTGCTCGCCAACTTTCTGTTGTTGAACCGGGGAAAAAGAAAGAGCAACCGAAGCTGACTTTGCTCATGAAATGGTTCGTTCTTTTGCAGCAAAAGAAGGGATTGGGATGTGTATGAACCTATCGTTGATCTCCTGTCAATTGAGGAAGTGGATGCCCTTGAGACCAAAGAAGAACGAATTGCTCGCTAATCTGATAAGGAAAAGAAAAAGATCAACAGGGTTCACGTGAGTCTTTCTACAAAGCAAATATGCTTCAAATACTACAATTGTGCATTTCTATTGTTTGTAGGATATGGCTTCAAAAAAATGTTATTCGAAAATAAATTTGGACTGTAGGAACTAGAAAGGGAAGGGGTTAATCAAGTTGTGTGGAATTACACTGTAGGAGTGGGTTCCCTTTGAGTGGATTCACTTTACCCCAAAAAAATGGACACGAGCAAAATCACCAAATTTGACTATTCAGATTGGTTTTTTTCATTCTAAAACTTTAAATTGCAGTTAGTCTGTTTCGTTTTCTCTGGTTCACTTTGAATGTTCTTTATTCATATGTTTAAAGAGCCCACAACTTTCTCTTTGTCAAAATCTGTGAGCAAATATTAGTACCATTTGTTTCAGATTGTTACTGTCAATATTACAGTAGATATGAAAAATGATTATACCGCTACAAGTTTATGTATGGAGGGAGGGCCAGAAGAGCAAGAGAGAGTTAAAATGGGGGAGGGGTAATATAATATTATAATGTCTATGATGAATGACAAACAATAAAATGATATGTGATGATGGTCTCAAACTTTATCAAGTGCCAACCAAACAAGTGTCAAAAAAGGCAAAAAGACTCATGACTCATCCCTTTTTAAGAAATCACCCATGTCTCAAGTCTCAACCTTTCAAATATCAACATATCAAGCTTTGCAAAAAAGGCAAGCAAAGTGTGATCAAGAGTTCAAGATCAAAGACCCAAATAAGAACTCATGACTCGTCCTTTTTTTTAAGAAATCATTTTAAATAAGAATAAAATATAAAGAAAGTAATAAAATAAGAGTTTCATGTTTTTATTTTCAAAATAGGAGTTCGCATGGTCTTTTGTATGAAGGACTACATCGATCCCGGATCGATAGTCTTTTGTGAAAAGACTAGATCGAAAATGGACTAGAACTAGTCTTATATAATATACGGAGTAATATTATAATATAACTTTTACATAAATACTCTTATTATTTAGCATGTTATTTGAGTACAAATACATTTATCTTATTAATATACAACACAATATCTCGTATTCTTTTTATAAATTTACAAATATGTCATAAGAAACTTAAATACGGAGGATATAAGTTATTGGTTGTATCTAATTTCTATCTCAGAAAAATACATACATTTGTGTTGCATAAATGCTTTATAAAAATTAACCAAGTGTAGTAATTGAATAAATTAGATAAAAAAGAAGTAAAATTTATATTTTTTTGGTTTTTTAAGAGAACTAAAAAGTAATATTTTAAACATCATATAAAATATAAAATATACGCAAGTTCAAACTATAACCGGTCCTAACCGGACTACTTATTGGTCCAAAAAATTAAAGTCTTTATTTTATACTGTAATAAAGATCGTACTTGTCTAGATTGATATTAAAAAAGGATCATACCGATCACGTTTTCCACAATTCACATCCAACCATAAAAGTTTTAGTAGCTTGACCTAGGTTACATAATTCTTATTTTAAAAAATGGGTCACTTTTAATCTTTGAATTGGCACTTTAAGGATGATTGCGACGCTCTAAGACGATCTAGAAAACCTTAGTGATCACACTCTGATTTGTAATTCACCCACTAGCGTTTTAGGTTTGCCTACGACGCTTAACCATTCTTTTTATACAAAGAAAAGAAATGATAGATTTATTTTTAATAAAAAAAAGTAAGTTTTTTACATGGAGACAGAAAAATAAATTTTTCTCATACTTTACTATTAAATATGTTTACAATCTTAAAGTATTTTTCATGTTTGATTTTTTTTAACCAACTTAGATAAACATTTATTATTAATTAAATAATTGCATTACATACTAATAATAAAATATTTGTTTGGCAAATAAATTTGAAAAAAAACCATTTTCATAATCCACGTTGAATAAACAATACAATTTTTATTTAACTATTGATTAACTTTATAAGCTTAGTGCACTATTCCATACAAATTTTCATAAAACTACAATTTCTTTTTTTTTAAATTCTGTATTTAGTAGTAAGAAACTAGAACATTATTTTAGGTTTTCTGTACAAATTATTTCTTTTTCCTTTTTCTTGTTTAGAATTTTATTTAATTTATATTCATTTCATTTTGTTATCTAAATGTATAAGACTCTAGTAGTTATAAACTCTTACGTTATAACATACCCTATATGTTTTATGTTTAAATTATACTTCGTATATGATCAATTTTTAAGTTGACAACGAGAAAGAATACGAATTAAGATTTCAAGAAAATAATTGTTTTCATGATATACATTGTTCGAAAGTATTAGATTTATTAGAAAATAGAAAAATATTACTCCGTATTTATTAGCTTCCTTACTACTCCGTATATTGTTTCCTTCTTATATTGTTACTATAATTCTTTTCCTACTTAAATTAGAATTATCTCTTGTAATCTTTATATAAAGAGATGTATCCTTCATTATTCAATAAGACCGATTATTATAAAATTGTATCAAGGTATCGGACCTAAGGTTCTAAAAAACCCAACCCTTTCTTTTCCGATCAAGCACATCGCATGTCTTTATTCACGATGGTTGACCGTCCTACAGCATGGAGTCACCGACCGATTTGACGAGTGTGCCTAATAGCCTCCGTCCATTATCTCCCTCTTCTTCTCTCCAAAAAAACCTATTATCTCTTCCTCTTCAAAAAAAATCATGTGCATGATCAAAAGATTTGTTGCCCCCCCAACGGTCCAATATTTAACCGTTGCAAAATATTATTTTTTTAAATTTCAACTATAAATACATTCTCATATTTTATAAATACACATGCAACACATTCTCTCATACAATTCTCTATTCTTTTTCAAAATTCTTATCTTTCTCTAATATTTTTTTAATTTTTATCATGAATTCCTTCGGTTCATCCGTTCCTGCATCCGTTCTAGAGCCAAACGAGTACGCGATGCGGTTTTACCAAATGAACGGGAATAATCTGACGTTTTTTCGATACCCAAACCTCAGTGAATCTGGAGGACCTAAAGTCGCTTCCGGAAATTCAACCAAAACCAAGTGCACCGACAAAAAGCGCACGCTGGAAGAGTTACAAACCAAGGTCCAAAAAGCCGATGACAAAGGCGGCACGGAAATGGAAACAACTCAAGAACCCCGAGGTCGGATCGTCAAAGAAAAGAACATCCACCGAGGTTGACGCTGATAATACTATTGGCTCGTCGGAACAAAGACCTCCTGTCAACCTAGACGACTATGATGATGCGAACCCTATTCCACGGTCGATCAAAAGAAAGAAGACAAAATTAATTTCCTCGAGTTCTGCATGTTCCGGCTCTGTTTCCTCTCACAACGATATCGGTCGGGCAATGGTTGAACATGTTAGCCTTGGTTTGCTAAGCCTCATGTTTTGATGTTAACAAACAATATAAGAGCTTAACGTTTGTTTTAGTGTTTCAGGAAAAACAAGAATCCATTAAGATTCGGTACTCAAGAATGAAGTCGAAACACTAAACTAGCGTAGAATATAGGTAGAAACCAATGTAAGGATATGACTTTATATACCTATATTCACAAGCTCAAAAGCACTCACAAAATATGTTTAAAACCATCCCATAAACATTTTCAAACATCTAAAAGGTTTTAAACTCAAACACGAAGGATTAAGGATATTTTGAAAAACGCAGGACTGTAGCACGGGACCCCCCTACCGTCTGCACGGGACCCCCTACCGTAAGGGGTACCGTAAGAGATATGTACCGCCAGAGAGTTTTGGCTTGAGAAGGTACCTAGCTACCGTAAGCACGGGACCCCCCCTACCGTATTAACGGGACCCCCCTACCGACTAGACGGGACCCCCCTACCGTGACCATTGGATTACTGTTCCTGATTTGTGATTTTGACTTTAATCAATCCTAATCACCTCCCAACGGCTAATTAACATCTTCCACTATAAATACAAGCCTAATCCTTCATATTTCTTCAAGAAACAAAGCTCTAAACATCCTCTATTTTTATTCCAAGTGTGTTCATCCTTCAATTAATTATTTTCAATATTTTTGGCTATTTTAAGAGCCTTAAATTTCTAATTTTTATACACACACTTTGAGCTTGTGTTTCTAGTTATATACTCTCATATTCATAAGTTTGAATTGTATTTTTGAGAGAGTATACTTTCCTTCTACACCGGCTAAGTTTTGTTCATTTTTATATTCAAGCCATTGTGTAGAACTCTTGTTTGTGTTCTTCAAACACATCTTTATACGGTCGAGAATAGCCGTTAAATTCTCATATTGTATCGGTCGAAGATAGCCGTATAAATCCTTGGGTAAAGGTTCAAGGATAGCCTTTGAAATCCTTGGGGGAACGGTAGAAGATAGCCGTTAAATCTTCATTGTCAACGATTCGAGATAGCCGTGGTGAAATCTCGGAGTGAATCCTATTGGCAAAGGTTGTTTGCCAAACTAGTACGGTGCTTTGACGGAGTTCAAGAGACCGAGACTTAGTGGATTCGGAAATCCTTGAGGAGGAGCCTCGAGGTACTGGAGTAGGGAGTTTCCAAACCAGTATAAATTCGGTGTGCATTTTATTTACGTTTTTATTTTTGCGTTTTATATATTGCTTCCGCATTTGCCAACACCATTTTTATTAAACTTCGAAAAGTTTTCAAACACCTTATTCACCCCCCCTCTAAGGCGTGGGCACAACGACTAAACTGACTAACATAACAAATGTGGGTGTTCAATATTAGGAAGAAGAGATCGAAGGGAGAAACAAAGGACAGAGAAGAAGGAGTTCGAAATAATGGAAATCGACTTTGATACGTTAGTGGGCTTCAAATGTATGTATTATGAGAGAAGACAACACGAGATCAAGAAAAATATAAATTGCCTTAGTTTTTTTATTAATGCAATTTTTTTAATTTAATATTTTTATTCAATTAAATATTATTTAAATTTAATTAATAAATGATATCTTTTACAAAATATTAGTTAAAAAAATTTTTTTAAAAAATTTGAAGCACCTACACCCCGATGTTTCAAACAAATCTATTTCTAATGAAATTCTGAAGTAAGTTTGAAACACAGATTGAAAGACTCGGACTCAAACGTATTGAGCTATTAGACACAGATTGAAAGACTCGGATTCATTATAAAAATTTTCTTCAAATTTTTATGATTATGTTCTTTTGGATCCTACTTTGCAATTTTTTAGATCAATTTGGTTGAAAGAAAAAAAATACTTTTCTAGAAAATTATAATTCTACTTTCCAATTTTAAGTTACATAAGTGGTAGGAAATCATTTCTTTCGAATAATATTTTCTCAAAGAGATCAAAATGACTTTTGTTTGTATTGAATCAAAGTTGATTTTTTTACTCAATTAACAAATACTCTAATTTCTTGATCGAATTCATCCCTTCACCCACACCCCCCATCATCTCCCCCCGCCCCCGCCACCCCCTCCCCTCGCCGCACCCAGATAATGCAGCACAATAAAAAGATTCAAAATTGATTGCGTATAAAAAATAAATTATGCTCCCTAAAGTATTTTAAAATTATTTCAAAATATCTTTGTTTTTATTAAAATATCAACATCGTTTCAATAAATATGTGGGAGAGAATTATTTTGTGAAAATTAGTTTCTCCTAGAATAATTATCTAGACACATATTTTCCCACAACTAAATGAACCTTGAACTTCCAATATTTTTCAATTTTTTGTTACCTTTTAACTTCTTTAACTTTCTTCCAACTCTTTGTAATTTCTTTCAATTTAATTAATCCAACCTCTTCCAACATTTTTAAAAAAATTTCCACTCTTTTAGTTTCATCTAATTTCTTCTGATTCTTTTCAATATTGTTTAAAAAATTATTTGCATGCAATTTTCGTATCATCATCATCATCCTCATCATCATCATTGCAACTATTTTAATATATTCTATTCAAAAATATGTGTTGTTATTTGATACTTGAATCTATAAATATATGAATATAAAGATTATATTTTTTCAATTATCTATTTTTACTATTATATATTTTTTTCTATAAAAATCATGTTTCAATAAAGAAAAATAAAGGCTCAAAATGTACTACTAATAAAGATGAAAACAATTCTTTTTAAAATTTATATTTCCTTTATGAAAATACTTTCATTTAAAAACAAAAGTTCTATCATTTATAAACACTGTTTATACCATAAATACATACTTTTAAAGATTAACAATACCGTGATGTGAATATATATAATATCTCAAAAACAATTAAATCTTGATAGATTTTTTATACTCCCTAATATATATTTAAACAAAATTTAATTATTAAAAAAGTTATTGAATACATTAAACCACTAAATTTTCATATTAAAAATTATCTAATATACATAAACCCATAATTCCCTAAATTTCACATCTTTAATTAGTGGTATAAGATGAGCTACTCAAGAGTATATTTTAGCTGAATAAATTTTCATACAAAAGAATAATTTAATAATTTTTAAAAAACTATATTTTACTCAAAAGACTTTTAATATGATTTTTTTATGAAAAAAGACCCAGGCTAATCATCATGATCATTTTATTTTTTATGATTAATTTATTTAATTTTTGCTTAAAAATTACATGTATTTCATTTACATAATTTTCAATAAATTCAAAAGTCCATAATTTTTTAATATAAAATATATTGGTTTAAACTCATCATATTTAAAGGTTATCATAAATGATAAATGAGCATTTAAAGCATGCCATGCAATTTATTTATGTGTCATGTAATTTAAAAATTGTCATGGAAGATGACACATGTCAACTTCTTGGAGACATGAGTATCAAATATTATAATAAAGGATTTTTTGCTTAAAAATTACATTTATTTCATTTAAATAATTTTTAATAAATTGAAAAGTCCATAATTTTTCAATATAAAATATATTGTTTTAAACTCATCATATTTTAAAGGTTATGATAAATAAATTTTCATAAATGATGAATGAGCATTCAATGTATGCCATGTAATTTATCCATGTACCATGCAAGATGACACATGTAAATTTTTTGGAAACATGAGTCTTAAATATTATAGTAAAGGATTCATCCTTTAATATAATATTTGAGAATTGATTAAATTAGATGATAACACGTGTACTTAATTGAGAGTTTATTTTATTGACAAATCAGCATCCACCACGCGTCATTCTCCCGTGCGTTTTCCAAGCGGAAGAAGAAAAGGAATTTCGCCCTTCTTCATCGTCCCAATTTCAGCGGAAGGCCTTTCCATCTTCATTGCGAGAAATCTGCAATTTCCTCAGCCCTTCGCCATCTCCTTTCCTTTTGAATGTCGACCAAAATTAGCTGAAAAAACCGCAACATCAGCTTTCCTTCACCAACGATCGCAAGTTTCCTTTCTCAATTCGAATCGGTAATAGCCAATTGCTTGCAATTAGAACCCTATTTCTGGTTTATCATTATTCTTTTCATATATCAAGTATTCTTTCCTTCATTCAATTTAATCCATGGCCTCAAGTGTTAATTTTTTATTATTCTGATTTTTCACAAATTCTTAGGGTTCTTATTTGGTAATTATATTCAATGCTTTGAACGAGTTCTCGGGGTTCCGAGAATAATATAAAGGCTATATATATACATACAATCAGTGCATATATATGTAATTCATCTACTGCATCTTTAACTTGGTTGGAACATTTGGACGAATTGAGAAGATAAAAACAAAGAAGAGATTGAGAAAAGAGCTTGAGATTTTTCGAGCTCCATGTATAAACAGTTCAAGGTGCAGAACCTATGTAATTTGTATTACCTTTTTGTTGCTTTTAAAGGACACCATTGATGCTCTTATTTCATGTTGTTATAATGGATTGAAGATTATATTTTTTCTATAGTTCATTGGTTCATCACGTTGGGTCTTGGTTTTCTAATTTTTTTAGTGATTTTTGTTTGGGGTTTGGGTTGTGCTTTCGAGGTTCTGTCTATAGGTTTCTCCCAAGCAGAATGTGCAACTTTAGACACTGGATATTAATTCAACTTTTAGTTTTTTTTAAATTTTTGCATTGTAGGTCATCTGGTTTTTGGCTTCAAGATTCTGCAAGCAGCGCAATCTGCTTTCTTTTTTGGAGTAAACGTGGCTGGTAATGTTTTACTTTTACAAATATTTTAGGTTTAAAAGCCCCAGGTTAGGAGTATGTTAGTTGTGATAGTTTTTGTGGTTTGGATACGGTTTGGCAATATAAACCCCTTTCCTATATATTTTAGGGTATAGAAATGAATCCAAATATCTTCCCTCAAAGAAAAAAGAAACCTATAAAAATTGGTGAATTTTTAACCCAAGATTCAAGTCTTGTGTATTTGAAGATTCATATAAATAATTTCTTTTATTTGTTAATATGTTGTATCATTCTGTCTCAGCCTTTTCATATCAGTGTCATAGACATCAAAACGTTTTCATGCCTTTGAAAATAAAAACACACGCACAATAGAGTTTAAAATTCAAATTTTCAGAGTTTCATTTGACAATTCTAATTTGATTTATTTAATTTATTGCATAATTTTTAATGTAAGGTATTCACAAGATTTTGATTCCTTTGCTTTACCTGCAGTGTGTGATTTCTCAACGGGTTTGGCTTCTCATTTACTTGAAATCATTTTAGCTAATATTGAACTTGCATCTAATGATTTTATAATTACATTTGGTGGAATACATATTTACATTCGTTCCATTATTGTTTATGTTAATCTTTCAGTGTCCTTCACCTTCCATGTGCTTTAAGTGTTCTTCCTTGATATTAATTACTCTTTATTTTATTATCCCATTTTTTGTGTGGCAATGTTAGAACAAGATTCATTGTTATATGTAATCTTATGGTTGATAATCTCAATAATTATAGAGAAGCAAAGTAGTAAATATTGAGATCCTACCACTAACACTAGCTTTTGTTGTTATAATACATTTGGAATTTCACTTTCAAAATTTGAAAATTACTATAAGGGTGTAAGCGGATTAGAGTAGCTGCTCAAGAGATGAGTTTAAGTAAGAGATTTTTTTAAACGCAACGAAAATTAAAAGTAAAATTATGTGTGTTTCATATAAGGAAACAACAAAAAAAGTCTCTTCTTTAGAAGGAAACTATGGTGTGTATTAAAAATTATTCTACAGATAAAAACGAGTCTCTCTTCTTTATCTAAAGAGATCCACAGCTATTCGGTCAATGCTCCCCCTATCAAAAACACAAGAGAGTGCAAAACTCTTCATTTGGAATCTCCAGGTGCAATTCTTCGCCTCGATTTCCCCAATTTTTTGGGTCAAATCTTTGATTATGAATCGTGGGTTGATTAATAGCGGGATTCGATACCTAATTTAGATTCATATTCCACATAATTAGATTGGGGAGGAAAGTGAAAGAAAGCAACCACATTCGTGACCAAGCATAGGTTATTCTTCGAATGAAGTTTAATTGAGTTTTAAATTGCAGCCTAGAGGAACCGAAATGTAAGTTTCTTTAAATCTTAATTTACACTTATTACATAAAACAATGTAATGAGGTAGTTGTAACTTTATTATTTTTGGTGTTTAGTGATTCATGACATATTGGACTGAGGTTATATGTTTTATGGCTATTTTGTGTGCCATATGTTCAAGTTCCTTACAATTACATTAGGAGTGTGATTCCTGCTATTTAGTGAAGACATGTAGCTTCTTTGAGTTGTCTTTTGTAAAAAAATATATTTATTACATGAGCTACAGGTGGATTATTTTTACTTAGTCATCGTTCGAGGTGGCTATCTGTAATTAGCATATCAGCGGGCAGCGCTAAAGCCGCTAGGAAAAACAGCCAGGCAGTCGAAGTTCTCAAAACCCTATATGTGAATCCAGACGATTGATATACTGTAGAGAGCTGGAGCCGAGGTTATAGTGGCTTCAGTGGAGAAGGAGCTCCGGGTGGACGCCTTACATGGATTCAAAGTCATAGCCGATATACTTATTTCTGATTGTGCCAATATTGAGTTTTGGTCTCTTTTCTCTTCCTGTATGTTTCGCATAGGGTTCCATTGATTGAAGTGTAGTGTCTAAGTTCCGTTTCTGCTTGGCCGTTTGGCCAGCCACTATTCCTGGATAATGACTATTTTAAATTTTATATTTTAACCGTGTTTCTTAATGTTTGACAGACTTAAGAGTTGGACTACTGCCGTTGAGGTAAATTTTAAAACATGAATGTATTCTATTGATGTCTTTATAAAGTCATGCACCCACTTTCCCCCAAGAATTTCATTTGTGTTTTCTTACTCCTATTTTTATTTTCCTTACTTGAATGAGTAGAAAAAGGTGGACAGTGAATAATGATAGGAATGATAGAAACCTTTGAAGAATTTTATGCAAACCAAATATAAGAGGAAAATAATGGAGAGTTTCTAAAAAAATATGACTGTTTGTTGGAGAATGATTTGTAGGGTGCATCACTGGATTGTGGAGAACACAAGATGGGACAATGGCACTATACACTAGAATGGGGGGAGTTCTCTTTCAAATCTGTTTACAGTGCCATTTTAGAACCTAAAGAAATCCACTGTCCTAGCAACTTTGCTGGCAGAAATTTCAAGTCCCCAATGTCTAACTCTTCAATTGGAAAGTAACTAATAATTGTTTGGCTTTCCCTAATTATCTCACTAAATATAATATACACCTGCCACATTAATATAGATTAGTGAACAAAATAGAAAAAACATTATTTGATTAATCTAGATTTCTGCTGAGAAACCCTTTAAGTGTGAGAGAGTTGCCTTAGAGCCACCAGATCACTCTTCACCGTCCACCGACCAACACGCCAATTTTTCAATGTGCAATTAACTGGTATGTCCCGATTGAGGTTCCTTCTTGGTTTTTACTAATATGACTATTTAAAATTATTGTTTATTTGTTTGATTTAATAAAGCATTACTTGATTCTTCATCTGTGTGTGGCGCATCAAGGTCAATTTACAGAGCTTGGACGGCCTACATAAATCAGAGTGTATAGTTCAATCCTTTACATTTTTTATGTTGGTGTCGTTCAAAAGAAAGGTAATGCAGCTAATTTTTTAAAATATCGTCTTTGTTAAAAATGCATTTATTCCATTAACGTAAAAAACTGAGGTGAAATTCATCAATTCTTTACATAACTATTTCTTTTGTTATTTATTGATTAGTGCAGACTTTTTTCCACAGGTATTTCAGTTGCAAAGAAAATACACATTTTATGTGTTTCATCAAAGGTAATATTCTTTAATGATCATTACTTATTACTCTTTTCAGATCAAGTTTTCAATACATTGGTTTGGGATGCAAAGTTTGTTCAGTAATGTTACAGTGCTAATCTCCTTTGAGAATTTGCATTAATTGAAGTATAATTTATTACTCCGTAGTTTATTGGGATTCTGCTTTCTTTTTACTTGGTTTTTTCCCTCAACACTTTTTTAAGGTATACAATCTTTTTTTTTCAATTTTCTTCTTATAGGGGATTTGGTCTCACTATCTCCTTTTCTACTTAATAAAACACTCTTTTCTTACACACACACCTTGGTACATCATAGTGAAAAATGTATATAGATAAAATTTGTGATATTTTAATCATGATGATAAAATTTGTGAGTCATTAACTTCTGGGGTTTCGTCTTGCAGAATTTGATTGAAGATTTTGTAGAAACAAAGAATAATCAATTTGAACGAAATAGAGATGATATCACTGATTCTACTGTCAACAAAAGAATGAAAGAGGTGGAACATTGTGATGGAGACGGGGATGAGTCGAGCAAGAAGATGAATATCGTTATAATAGAGAAAAATTAGGAATATATATTTTATGTTAGCCTGAGAGTATTTTTTTGGATTGATTTATGTGTCACATAGGTTTTTTTTGTGGATTGATTTATGTGTCACACAGTTTATAATCTATAATTTTTGGATTGTTTGTTGTTTAGTTTTTAAAATACAAAATTTTGTGGCATTTGGTATTATAAAAAAGATTGCATGTTTGAAGAATATATACTCAATTCAATATCCTTACTCATATAGTATACTTTTACCATTCATATGCTTCATATTTTTATAACATAGATTAATGTTATTTTCTTAAATTTTCAATTTCATTGTTTTTTGTTTTTTTAAATCAATTTATAAAAAAGGTACTAATTATGATTTTTTCATTTATAAAAAAGGGAGTTGGATTTACTAATATCAATTAGGATTAAATAGTTTGAACATGAAAAATTTGAGTAAACTAATCCTACGTACTGAAATATTTTTTTAATGTTTAGTATGTATGTTTTTAATATGTATAATATTTTTTATTCTTACCTACTCAACATCTCCCATTAGAAAAAATAATAGATATGTTTGGTATCTACAATTTTTTTATTTGTAAAGATATTGGAAAAAAAAGAAAAGTCAGTAAATAAAAATTAGGAATAAGGTGTTATATGTTTTCAAGACGTAAATGTATAAAAATTAAAAAACAATGTTATAGGTTTTCGGTATAACATTAGTTTCATAAATTTATATTTTCTTTTCTTTTTCCTTTATAAAAATATCAAATATTAGTCAGATACTAAATACGTTTTTACATTACTTTCCATTATATTTTCTCTCTTCTCATATTAAAAAAACGAGATAGTCAGAATATTAGAGAGTATTAATTGGTGGTAAACAATTTAAGCATACAAAATTAAAACACCCTCCGCAACAACATTTAACGAAATTGTTTTAGTTCTATACTTTTTTTCAAGTCATATTTTCAAGCTCCTGCACATATAAAAGAGAATCAACAACTATAATATACTACATATAAAAAAATCTTTAAACGTACTTAAATAGGATGCCCTCTAGCTCGAATATATTATCACACTTTACCTTTTTCTGGGCAACTTATGCAATTTTGGACAACAAGTAAATAACAATAATATTTATTTAACTAAGAGAATCACCAAGTATAATACACTATGTATAATGGTACATGGTAAATCATTGAAGAATTGCGAAGAAATGTTATCGGTGCAATTGTTGTATTAGAAAATAATGTCGGGAAGCAAGTTTACATACCCCGGATTAATTTGGTATCGTCTGATCCTTGATTACCATTGAGATTTCAAAGAAGACAACTTTATGTTTCAGTTTCAAGAGTGAAAACAAAGAAAAGATTGAAAGTGTTAGTTTTTTATGATAGCGGTAACCCTTGCAACAAAACAAAAAATATTGTATACCCTCAAAAATTAGAAATATTTGCTCTAAATAACACTAAAACTTAAGTCATTTCTCTAAATAGCACTTAAATTGTTTTATTCCTTAAATAGCACTTAAGAATGTTCATAATGTCTAGTGATGATAAATATGTACTTGAATAATGACTAATGGATAATGACTAAAAGTGCTGCATTGAAAAAAACACATGTGATACTATTTATAGAAAGTCATTATGTTTTAGTGTTATTTAAGTAAATTCCCCTTAAAATTATACCTTTACATGTTCTTTTTGTTTTGTATATATATGAATTTCGGATATCACATATTTATGGTATATCGCCCATTAAATTCTACAGTTCGATATTATAATTCGCTTTATTTATTATCATTAACTAAGAAGAAAAAAATAAGTGAGTAAAAAAACGAATCGTTTCACCCGTGCGTGGCAAGGGGTTAGAATACTAAGTGGTCTAAAAAGCTTGACCAATCACCATTATTCACCAATATGACGGGATTGACTGGTAAATGAGAATGAGAATGAATGTATCTATCCGGTAATTCTGCATCCATTCCTAAGTTCATTCCCGCTGGCTTTTCTTTGGTAGATAGAGAGGACTTTGGTGGAGAGGATTCCTATGCCGATTTAGGGCAGAAGTCAAGTAGGTTCCCCACGCCAATCGTCGTCTCCCTCACTCTCTCTACTCTACCCAAAACCAGAGCCTCGGCTGAGCGAGAAAGAGAGCTGCAGGAACCAGCCATTTCATTCATTCCACACCATTACGCCCGAGTATCATGGGTGTGATTAAGGCGGCGATCGGCGATGCGCTGTTGACCTTCATGTGGGTGTTCTCCGCCTCCACACTCGGCATCGGCACCTCCGCTGTAGCATCCGCGCTCGGAGTCGTCCATCCGATGGCGTCTCTCTTCATCACCACCGCTTTGCTATTCGTCCTCCTGTTCGTTTTCGGCATCCTCAGCGATGTCCTAGGCGGCGCCAGCTTTAACCCCACGGGTATTGCTGCGTTCTACGCTGCAGGCTTCGGGAGCGACTCTCTCGTCTCTGCTGCAGTCCGTTTCCCCGCTCAGGTCGGCCTTCTAATTGTCTCAGATTTTATAATTCTGTGAATGGTTTACCTTGTCGTTTACCCATTCAATCGTGCTCGAATTAGGGTTCCTGCTTCCTATGGATTATATAATATTGTGCTCGAATTCATTTAGGCTCCGTTTGGTATACGGAATTCAAATTATGGAATTGGAGACAATTCAATTCCAATTCCATCAGTTCCGTGTACCAAACGGACCCTTAGGGTTCCCCACTTAAAAGCTAAATTTATATAACAAATGACCTGATCAGTGATGAACTAAATCTTTATCGTCTTTTTCAAATGACCTATTGCCTCTGAATTGCACAATTTCCAGGCTGCGGGTGCTGTTGGTGGAGCAATTGCGATAATGGAAGTAATCCCTTCACACTACAGGCACATGGTTGGAGGGCCTTCTTTGAAGGTTGATGTCCACACAGGAGCAATTGCAGAGGGAGTGCTAACTTTCATAATGTCCTTTATTGTTTTTGTTGTCCTCTTGAGGGGTCCTAAGAATTCATTTGTCAAGAATTGGTTGCTTGCCATATCAACAGTCACCCTAGTCATTATTGGTTCTAGCTATACAGGTCCTTCCATGAATCCTGCTAATGTAAGTAGAATTTCTTTCTTTTTCTCTCTATTTATATCTTTGGAGCATGACATTTTTACTTCGTTTTATCTCTCTCTATAGACCCCTTTACTTCGGTTAGTTGCATAACTTAAAACATGTGACAAACAAAATTTGAGTCTCTGTTTTAAGTTCAGTAGGTTTGTTATACATCCAAATGTACTTTGAGCATGGTACAACCAAGATCTGAACATGAGTATTCTTTAAAAGCAAAAGGAGCATTTCCAACAACTAAATCAGCGTTCTTTATAATTAAGTGGCCATAATAATATGAACACAGACATGATAAAACTAAATGAAATGAGCATTATTCAGAACCATAATGAGTATGTTGTCCAAAAGATTACAAAATACCATGGAATTACACACACACACATGTGTGTGTGTGTGTGTATAAAATATAACTTGCCATTATGAGTTCCATTTTCAGTGTTCAGGTTTCATGAATTTTTGTTATATGCTTTTGCACTTCAATGCTATGTGCTCTCTATTTCCTTTCATTTAGCTCTTGATTATTGGTTACTTTAACATGAAACCTGGACTTTTGAGCCTTGTTACATTGTATTTTAGCTCTTACGCCACAGATACTAGGCTAATCTTGGTATGAGAGAATTCAAAACAGTCAACAAGAAGAAAATTTTATGTATAATTAAGTTAGGTTTGATTGTCCGGATCCAAAATTTCTTCATATGATTCTGCACTTTTGTCAAACTACATTTTGAAGTCCACTCTCCGGTTCCCAATATGGAGGAACTGGATGCAGGCAATCTGTGGTTTACTAAGTTTGGTGATTTCCCATTTGGTGGAAATTTAATTTAGAAACTTTGCTTTAGGTTTACAGGAATTTCGTATCATCCCAGTTCTAGTAATACAACGTTACTTTATAACCATATTGATTTTACCCAGAGACAGTTGATTATATAATTCTATTTTCAATTTACTGACTTATCTTGATATGCTGCTTCGTAAATTTATGTTGGCAGGCATTTGGCTGGGCTTACACAAACAATCTGCACAATACATGGGAGCAGTTTTACGTCTACTGGATTTCCCCCTTCATTGGAGCAATCCTGGCAGCTTGGATTTTCCGTGCTGTGTTTCCACCCCAGGTGAAGCCCAAGAAGCAGCCAAAGGCAAAGAAAAACTGAAAAGGTGGTTGAGTGTTAGACCGCGCCTCAAGAACTCTATATATATGATGGCTAAGTGCACCTCTTGTAAGTGGGTTGTGTTTTACAATCTTGTTTTAATTTGATTGAATTAGAATCTTCATCCAATAAAGATTTTGCCGTTTGATTGAATCAATCTACTACGTTTTTGCCAATCCCCGATATCCCAATTGTTCTATATGTTCCATGTTTATGGTATGTTTATTATGATGTGTTTGGATTGAGGGAATGAAGGATAGCAATGATTTCCTTCACTAGGCTAGAAAGTAGACTGTCCACCAAATGAGCACAACATTTCACTCCAAATCTTTGTCATAACTATTTATAGTTCAGCCAATCCAACATGCAACAGCTGCCAAGGGAGGTATATTATATTTAATGGCTGGGTGTTTGTCTACTCCCCTTATTTATGATTGAAGTCGTGTGAACGGATGAAAGGACGTTAGTCAATGTCAAGACAACAACAAGCTGAGGATGATTCCAAATGTGTTTGGGTATGAGATCAAGATGACCTTACCCCTATGAAAAAGAGTTTGTTTTCGTTAGATCTCTAATGCATTGATGTATTTACTATCCAAAATTTCACAAAAAGAAGCAATTTGGATTTGGAATTATAAATGACATCATAAATTCTACAATATTCATCATATAAATTCATTCAGAAAAACAGCGGCGGCATTTTATGTTGGATCTTGTTTTGTTGCTAACCTTCACTACTCACATTCCCATCGGACAGGGTGCCCGGGGTAAGGCGATTTCACCTTTTGGAACAAGAAAGAATAATGAGTTGAATATTGTAGAAAAGTCATCGTCATATGGAGTACCGCTTATTTCTTCTCGCATATATGGAAAATAATCCAAATATATCATGAGAGTGATGTGACATTATTGGGAATACGAGGTTTGTGGGTATGGTTTCTCCCTTTCCCTCCTATCAATTCCGCGTCACGTCAACCTCCTTTTATAATCTCTCTTCCTATCAATTTGTAAGGATGTGGTCTCTTCTCTTTCCTTTCCATTTTTTAAGAGTATACTTAAACTATAAACTTAAATTAAAACATTTAACTAATATTGAACTTAATTGTTGATAATAAAAAATTAAAAGTACATAATTAAACTAAAATTACAATGAATTTACTCCATTCGTCCCACAATTGACTACAATTCTTTTTCCTCTTCTCGATAACTTTCATTTATGTGTATGTTTTATTTAGTTGTTTAGTAAAATAAATTATTCTTGTTACTTTTTATTTTATAGAATTTTTCACGTAATTTTTTAAATATATAATTTTTATTTTTTAATCTATGACATTTTTTAAATAAAATGAATTTAAGAGACATGAGATTTTGCCTCGTAACTTTCAGTTTATAATCTAAGTTGGGGTATATTTCAAGAATGGTACATGAACTTTCATGAAAATTTTGATTTACTACCTAAACTTCAAAACCTTTTCCAAAAATACCTAAACTTGTACTATCATTTCACTAATAATCCTTTGCCCGTTGCTAGATAAAGCTAACCTTTAATAAGATATTTGGAAATGTTCACCCTCACTCGGGCAAACCCTTTCTCCTTCGTCGGTGTCCATGGTATCTTGAGGTTCTTGCCAATCTTGCCCTCCGGGCATATTTCCTTCTCTTTGTTTTTTGGAGGTTACATTTTGGGCACAAGGGTTTTACTGATTAACACTTAAAAATGTTTGGGTGAGGTATTTGAACATTTTAAATAGTTCAACGCCATTGTAGATATATAAAGGGAGATGGACCAAAATAGGAGTAAAAGAGATATGATATCTAAAAATAGGAGTTGAAACTTAAACTCCCTTGAGTAAAGGAGTAAATGTAGGTGCATATCCTTTCGTACTCTGTAGTACTAACCCCATCCATGACAATGAACCCTTTGGGGACAGTGCACCTCAAAAGCCCCTTCCTCTTCTTCACCCTCACCCACAACAAGTCCCCTTCAGATTCAAACATTGCGATTTCTCCAGTCCCGTGTACATGTCCCTGCACGAAGTAACCTCCCATCCTAGTGCTCGGCGTCAAAGCCCTCTCCAAATTGACTCGAGATCCGCGTTCCAGCTCTCCAAGGGAGGTCTTCCGCAGGGTCTCCGGAGCCATGCCGGTCGAGAATCCGGACGATCCAGTGTCGAATTCTGTGACGATGAGACGTGCCGTTGACCGCGATGTTGTCCCCGAGGCAGACGCCTTCGAGGATTGTTTTTGTTTTTGCGCTGATCTTCAAGGTGAAACTATCCTGATACGTTTTGCAGCGGTGGATTATCAAATGCATTTTAATTTGATCTTACTGAATGGGTAAATTTTATTTATAACACCTAAATTCATTTAAATGACATGTTTTTCACCTTTAATATATAAACACACATTTTCAATACATTGTCAATGTAAATTGGTACATTAAAATGTTTATACAATGTCGAAAAGGACCATACTAAATGTCACATGTAATCATATAATGGCAATCATGCCAATGTATAATGTCATACATGCGAATGCATAATGCTAAACAAATTAAATAGATAATATCAACCTTGACATTGTATAATGAAAGATATGTCAATGTATAATGTTAAAAAAGAGTACATGTCAAGGAATTCTACTATTTGCCAACACCATAATCATTCAGTTTCATTACTAATTTTAAAAAAATACCTAAAAAGTAAATTTCACAATTGAAAAGGAATGTCACCTCTTATTTCAAATTGAACATAAAATTAAATTCAAACTTATCCAATTTAGTTGTTGATTGCCATGCATGGATTCTTGATCGCAAGGAGAGGTGACATTGAATGGATTCTTGATCGCAAAGAGAGTTGTTTTTGCGGCCAGGGCTAATCAAAACATATATGGAGTATTTAATTAATTACTCCTATTTAGAGGAATTTAAGTTTGAACTCCTATTTCGAGGATATGATCAATGTGTGATGTCATAGTTTGCTGCTGCCATCTCTATTTGTCGGTAGGCCTAGTTTGATCCTTAATCGAATCAATCCTATTTTGCTCCTAGTTTAGCCGCTTAATTCTGCCATGCTACGACCTGCGACGTCGGCACCCCAACTGGCACGGAAGATGCTACCGCACCCGTCATTAGTGTTGCCATAAGTTGTCGCTGCGATCTTCATTTCCTACTGTTGTTGTCACCTTTACATTTTGCCATCGTCAAGTTGGAACCAAGATGGTGTGCCTTTGTCATTCCCACAATGCCATGGGGCCATTGCCAAGAAAAAAACTTTAAATACAATGTCAATCAAAGCCACAATGTCAAAGATGACAATGTATAGTGGCAAACATGTCCATGCATAAGGCTGAACATGTAAATGTATAATGTCAAACAGAAAGTGAAAATGTTAAGGTTGCCAATTCTGAGTGTCAAGTTTCAATTGACTTTACCAAATTTTGCCTAACTTAGAAACAAAAATCAAGCACCTTAATTAACAAAAAGAAAACATTGAATACACAATTGATTGCAAAAACCAAACCTCAACCCAACGAAGATGCAATTACAATATTTCTAGGCTCCAGTTTCACTGCTAAAGAAAACGAGTTTTTAATACAATGCCAAACAAAGTCACAATGCCAAAGATGACAATGCATACTAATTAACAAACATGTCATTGGGTATTGGCAATCATAATATATAATATTTACTCTGTTAGAAAGAAATATAGAGCTTGTTCTAACCTTGGATAATCCAATTCCATATAAAAATCAAACTCATAAAACCTCTGGTTATGAAGTAGATTGACTCTTTCTAAACATTTGTAATTCAAAAAAAAGAAATGATCGAAGCATAAACAAATGAAAAAAACATTAAGCACTAAAAGTTGACTAAGAACTGGAAATAAAACACACCAGTACATGCTAAGAGAGAGAAATGGTGGGTGTGGTCGTGTTAATAGAGGGAGCGGAAGAAAGAGCCGAGATTGATCGGTCCAAAGAGGCAGGTTAATAAAGGGATTAGGGAACTCCTATTTTGGGTATATAACTTATGGACTCCTATATTAGGTATAAGCCTAATGTTTTACTCATATTTAGAGGGTTTTCTTATATATAAATAAGAATGACAATTTTGATAAAAAATACGGAGTAGTGTAGTGACAATTTTTTTGACCGATGCTGAGAATCGCAAACCTAGTTCGATATAGAAAGAGAGAAATGTAGAAGAGAAGAAAGAAAATTCATCACCATCTTTATATTTAACATTATATTTTTCAATTGGTTTTTTTTAATATCAATCACTTTAAAATTCATTAGAATCCATCATTTAATGGACTCTTTAAAATCTGATGGGATTTAACCCCAATAACTATGGTGGCACGAAGAACTTGTATTTAAATAAGAACAATTGTAGAAATTTGTAAAAGACTGAATCGGTTTTCATTGAGTATGCACAACGTATAAATACAAGTAGGTTTGAGGCTACGTTGGGCCAGGCCCAATTACTTACAAGGAAAGATACATACATGGAAATAATATACAAATATGTAAATTTAACTATACATGCTAACACTCCCCCTCAAGTTGGAGCATGGAGATCACAAATGCCCAACTTGGAGAGCAAGAAAGAAAATAAAGGTCTGTTCAGAGCTTTGGTGAACAGATCAGCTAGCTGCAGGCGAGTAGGAACATAAGCTGTGGTGATCTCTCGACGATGAACGCACTCACGAACGATATGGCAATCAATGTCGATATGCTTCATGCGCTCATGGAAAATAGGATTAGCAGCAATACACAAAGCAGATTTATTATCACAAAATAAGCGGGGCGTGGTTGGTGGAGTAACACCAAGCGCACCAAGAAGGCCCCGAATCCACCGGACCTCTGCACAAGCGTTAGCCATTGCAGAATATTCAGCTTCGGCGGAGGACGAACGTGACACGGTAGTTTGTTTCTTTGTTTTCCAAGAAACAGGAGAGCCACCCAAATTAATAAAATAACCACTAACAGACCTGCGAGTAAGAGGACAAGAGGCCCAGTCGGAGTCACAATAAGCAGACAGTTGAAGAGAACTATCACTACGTAGAAGAATTCCCTGTCCTGGATGACCCTTCAAATAGCGAAGAACACACTTGGCAGCATCCATATGATCAAGTCGTGGGGCATGCATAAACTGAGATAAAACATGAACCGAATAAGATAGATCTGGCCGAGTGATAGTAAGATATATCAAGCAACCCACAAGACGTCGATATTGACCCGGATCCCGTAACTCTGCGCTAGTGGAACGAGCCAGACCATGGTTCGGTGTGATGGGGGTGTCCGCTGGCTTACACCCTAATAGACCGGCCTCATGAAGGATATCCAATGCATATTTGCGTTGGCACAGAACAATCCCCGCTGCTGACTGAGCACACTCAATGCCCAAAAAATAGGATAAGGGCCCCAAATCCTTGAGCCGAAAACACCTGTGCAAATAGGATTTGAAAGAGGCACACAAAGTGGAGTTATTACCTGCAACCAAAATGTCATCAACGTAAACTAGGACAATCAGAATATCAGAATTGCAGCGGTGAATAAACAAAGTATGATCAGCATGGGCCTCACAAAACTCGTATCGTCGGAGGGCACAGGTAAGTTTAGCAAACCAATTGCGGGGTGATTGGCGTAACCCATACAGAGACTTACGCAGACGACAAACCTTTCCTAGATGAAGGTGTGCATAACCAGGTGGCAAATGCATATACACTTCCTCAATCAGATCACCATGGAGGAAAGCGTTGTTGACGTCAAGCTGGTGCACTTGCCAACCCTTGGCCACGGGAACGGAGAGCAGGACCCGAACAGAACCTATTTTTGCTACCAAGGCGAAAGTATCTGTGTAATCAACCCCAATGTCTAATGATTGCCAAGCACAATTAGGCGTGCTTTGTCCCATTCCTTAGAACCCTCAGAATTGAATTTGGTTTTAAAAACCCATTGACATCCCAAAACCGTCCGGTCAGGTGGTAGCTTAGTAATATCCCAAGTGTGGTTATTCTCGAGAGCTTGAAGTTCCGCTTGCATAGCTTCCCGCTAGGTGGCATGAGGAGCAACTTCAGAATAATTTCTAGGAACAAAGTGCGGACTGATAGCCCCAAGAAAACCACGGTACCTGTCATGCAATTTATTATAACAAACAAAGTTGGCAATAGGATAGCGCGTACCTGAAGATGAAGACCGGGGAGGAGATGAACACAACGGGACATGAGATTGAACAGAATTGACGATATAATCACTAAGGTGGGAAGGCGGACGACGCTGCTGTTGGGGACGAAAAAGGGGAACGGCGGCTGTTTGGGAAGGAGAGGGGTTGACGGACGGCTGGTCGCCCTCTCTCTCCGGTTCGGCGGTGTGTGCGACCGGAGCGTCTGCCGCCGAATGGCTGGTCGGCGATACATGAGGGGGATCAGGCAGGGGTATTTTGGGAAAATCGGCTAGTGGAGTGGGGGTGGATGAATAACGAGAACGAAATGAAATAAAGCGTTTCTAGATCTAGTTTTGGATGAGCTTCTCCCAATTTCTTCCTTGGCCATAATGGAGCAGCCTTTTTCGAATTGCAGCTCCGAGTTCAACGAATAGTGAAACTCATTCGACTGAAAGGAACCGAAGACGTGTAGGCTTTACGATGAATCGCTTCCGGTACGAAGTCGCTAGAGAATTCGTTGAACTATGTTCAACTCATTCGAGAATAAGAAAATATATCAAATCGCCAGCGGTGTGAAAGGAATAGCCTTGAATCTTGAGAATGAGAATGTAGGGATTGTCACTACCAACCAGCACACATCATCTGGCTCGGTCTTGCCGGTATCAACAACGAGGAAGAAATGGCATTCCTAAGGGTTTCAATGATTGGAGAAAAACCAGTTTGCAGGGGGTACTTTTTTATTGGGAACTTTCAGTCCTCTATATTCGAAATATGCCTTTCTAGGAGCATCATGTCGATTGTTCAACCGTACTTTGGCTATCTTACGTGGAGCTAGGTTCGGCCGGCGTGTGTTGTATGGCAAATGAGAATTGGCTCTCGTCAAAAGCCACGTCCCGAGTGTGAAAAAACGGTGAGAGTCAAGGTCATACACACACCAACCTTTAGTGCCGGAGGGGTACCCAACAAACATACACTTGGTGCTGCGAGGAGAAAATTTGTTAGAAGTTTTCAGACGAACAAAACACAAACACCCAAAAAATTTGAGATGACTAAGATCAGGTGCTTTGTTATTGAGGATCTCAAAAGGTGATTTTCCACCGAGGAGTTTGTTGGGAGTCTGGTTAATTAGATACACAGCTGTACGAACACATTCCCCCCAAAATTCAATAGGTAAATGGGCTTGAAACATGAGTGATCGGGCGACGTTTAAAATGTGCCATGCTTACGTTCCACCCGACCATTTTGTTGGGGGGTACCAACACAAGAGGTTTGAACAAGAACACCCAAGGACGCATAATATGTCCGAAGATCCTGATTTACAAATTCAGTCCCATTATCAGAACGAACAATTTTGATGATTTTATGGAATTGGGTATGAATCATGGCAAAAAAATGTTTCAAGCAACTAGGCACTTTAGATTTATCAATAATCAAATAAGCCCAAACGGCTCGAGAATGATCATCCACAATAGTGAGAAAATAGTGAGCACCAGTAGCTAAGCAAGGGGTATATGGTCCCCATAAATCACAATGAATTAAATCAAAAACACTAGTAGCTTTATTGGAACTGATTGGAAAAGAACTACGAACTTGTTTGGATTGAAAACAAATTTCACAAGACTGCAACAATTTAATTTTAGAGCTACTAGCATAAGGAATAAGAGACGACAAAACTTGAGTAGACGGATGACCCAAGCGTTTATGAAGAAGAATAAGGTCCACTTGGGTCGCGGCCGCGGTAGAGGAAGGACGAAACAGGAAGATTCTGTTGCGTGCATCACCCCGTCCAATCTCCATCTTCGTTGCACAATCATGTATTACACAACAATTGTTGTTAAAAATTACAAAACAGGATGTATCCCGAATAAGGCAACCAACAGAAATAAGATTGCACTGTAAGTGAGGGACAAGCAAAACGTCCTAAAGGACCACCTCGGCCGAGAGTCGCACGTGACCACATTGAGTGGCAGTAGTGCGCGTACCATTGGGTAAAGTGATGACGCAAGGGCTCATAGAAACCACATTAGACAAATATGAGATATTACCGGTCATGTGATGCGAAGCGCCGCTATTAATAAGCCACTCACGAGAAGAAGAATCACCGCTAGGGCTAGAAGCTTTGTCAGATGAAGGGGTATCAAGCATGGAAAGCACGCGTGTCATTTGGTCGGGTGTGAGACCGAGGGCGTTGGAATTTGTAGCCGGGTTTGTTCCCCCTATCGCCGTTCCAGACCCACGGCCAGGAGCACCACTGCTGCCCGACATGCCACGGCCGCCACTCCATCCTCCACGGTTGGGTGCACTGCCACAGCCCCGGCCCTTTCCCGGGGGTACCCATGTAATTGATAGCATCGATCCACCGAATGCCCGTCCTTGTCGCAGTGAGTACACAAGTAGTGAGGCGGGTCACCACGGCCCGCAGGAGGTGTAGGGCGCTGCATGGCAAAGGCTACTGCGTTCGTGCGGTCATCCCGACCATGGACGATACTTTTGTGCCGTTCTTCTTGGACAATCAATGCATACGCCCGGTGTATATCCGGAACAGGTTCGGTAGCGATGATCTGAGAACGGATGTGACCAAACTGTTCATCGTCTAGGCCAAGCAAAAAATGGTGAGTTTTCTCCTGTTCTTCCCAAGCACGGATAAAAGACGCGGCTTCACAGCGACAGCCGCAGGTGGGATCAACAGAACCATACAATTTGTTCCACAAAGTCACAAATTGATTATAATAACCAACCACAGTTTGACCTTTTTGACGCAGGGATTGAAATTCGGATTTTAATTGATGCACACTAGGACCATTGGATCCCCCATACCGAGTCTTCAAATCCAACCACAATTCATGAGCAACCTTATGAGAAATAATAGACGGTTGAATATGTTCAACACTGTTACAGATCCAAGAACAAATGATAGAATTATTGGCTTTCCATGCTGCAAGTTCCTGTTCATCAGTAGGCTTTGGAAACCCGGAAGGAATCAAAAAACCTGCTCGACTTCGCCCCTCAAGAGCGTTCACAATAGTTTTCTCCCAAATATCATAATTATCACCCTTAAGAAGATGTTTTGTCAGAGAATTACCTGCGCTTTCCGACGGATGAATGTAATAGGGTGACGTTGGATCGTGGATGAGCCGTACCTTCTTTGGTGTTTCGGCTGCCATGGTGACGTGAGGCACCGGCGATGTATCTGACGTGAGCCGGCGTTGTGGAGGAGACCGATGTGAGCCGATCGGTGACTGTCGTGAGCCGGTCGAAGTAGTGCCGGCGACGGCACGGAAAAAACGAGCCTAGGGTTTAAACGAATCCCGGGAAATTGGCTCCGATACCATGTAGAAATTTGTAAAAGACTGAATTGGTTTTCATTGAGTATGCACAACGTATAAATACAAGTAGGTTTGAGGCTACGTTGGGCCAGGCCCGATTACTTACAAGGAAAGATACATACATGGAAATAATATACAAATATGTAAATTTAACTATATATGCTAATAACAATACAAATTGAATATATAACTCTCGTATACATGTATTAGCTTGCTCCAGATTGGGTTACAATGGAGGATTTATCTCTTGTTTATAGTCTAACGCTACCGCGTACATGGTATGTAATTCATGCACTACATAATCAGCTGATTGGTTATCGTGCGTCAATTGTACGCGGAGAATGAGTTATCAATTACTCTCTAATCCCGCGATCAAGAGGATTGGGCTTTCCTTATACCTTGCGATCAATCCGCCTTATCGACTGGGCCTGGCCCATTAACTCGTTCAATCCTTGGACTCAGCCCATTCTTGTGATCTGAATCTGGGCTTCATCTCTATTGGGCTCTAGATAACATGCTTGGGCCTTTTTGGGTCCATTTTATGAACCCAATATCCATCAAAATCTTTAGAATTTTTAATACGATTAGATTTAAATGAACATTTTAAAATCTTAAATGAATACACAAAAATATTAAATACTCTTTGAAAATATTAATTGAACTCTCATTTCCATTACAAAATCCTATAAACGACTCCTTTCTCCCCCATCATATTCGTCTAGTTAGACTTTTTTAAGTAAAACTAGACAAACTTTAATTATCAATTACTTTCAACTTGTATTGTATACTAATACAACAAAATAACGTTTTAAAATTCTCAATAATATAAATATAATGATATAATTTTTATACTAATAAATATTACCATTATTATTATTTAATCCAGGTGCAAAATTTTATCCAACTTAACTCAAAAAATTAAACTGAATGAAAAACAGATGATTACAATAATATGCCCACGCTTTAGAGGGGGTGAATAAGGCATTTAAAAACTTTTTCGGAGTTTAATAAAATTAGTGTTGGAAAATGCAGAAGCAATGAAACTAACACAGAAGTAAAAAGTGTAATGTAAGAACACACCAATTTATGCTAGTTCGAGAAAAAATCCCAACTCCAGTACCTTAAGGCTCCTCCTTAAGAATTTTTGAATCCGCTAAGTGTCAGCCTCTTGAATCCCGTCAAAGCACCGCACTAGATTTGGCAAACAACCCTTACCAATAGGACTCACCCCGAGATTTTACAACGACTATCTCTAACCACTTACAATAAAGATTTGAAGGCTATCTTCTACTTTTTCCCCTAAGGATTTGAAGGCTATCATTGAATCGTTTATCCAGAGATTTCTCGGTTATCCTTTACCGTTTACACTAGAATTTATACAGCTATCATCGATCTTTACAATGAGTAAAATATGTGTCTTAAAACAAAGAAAAAAGTTCAACACCTTTTGGCCTATGATAAAGATAAAAGATCAATCCTTGACGGGTGAAGAATGGAATATACTCTCTATAAAAATACAAGATCAATCTAATGAATATAAGAGTACATAGTATAATCACAAGCTCAAAGTGTGTGTATAAAATCACGAGAAAAACAAAGTTTGGTGTTTCAACTTCATATTTGAGAACCGTAACTTAATGAATTCTTGTTGTACCTGAAACACTCAAACACACATTAGCTCATATATTGTTTGTTAACACCAAAACACTAGACTTAGCATACCAAGGCTAACAAAACTAAATGTACTTGTAATTTTCTATTCTTAAAGACCAAAACTATCTAATGTTATTGTCGCCCATGGAAAAATACATAAGAGAAAAGTTTACGATGGAGCAAGCTTTGAAGTTCTCAGAATGTTCAAAATGTTGTGCATTTAAGTGTGGTTGGTTTGATGAACGTCATGCCGATGTGTCATCATTATTCCGGGTGAGAGACAAGAAGTTCACCCAGAAATTTGAGCGTAGTTTGTTATTTCATACCCACATTTTTTGTGTGACTTTAAAATACAATCCAACAAAGTGAAGGGAAACAACTCACGCAAAATGTTTTTTTTGATTTTTTTGTGTGCTATTGACTCGATTCCAAGATAATTTTTGTTCATACTATTCTCAACCTAGTGACACACAAAAAGTCAATACCTCTGCCTCGACTAGGGGCTTGAACCTGGGTGAACCTTCTCATGAATCCTTGGAAGTGGGATTCTTACCACTTTACCCCCGCCATTGTCTAGGCTTATGTATTTAGCAAGAAAATTATTCAATAGTACTAAAGAGCAGAAAAAATATTGCTGCTTAGGCATATTTTGTCTTATAAAATAAAAAATACAGGGCAACACACTCATTTTGCCTGTAAAAGACACATGTAAGTAACATCGATGGTGACTAGGCAGCAGGCAATAGTGAAATAACAATAAAAATACAAGATAAATATTGGAGTAACGATGACAATAAATGAATTTAGGAGTAACTTTTAAAGAAAATGGAGTAGTAACTTAAAGAAATTATCCAAAGTACAAGTAAAACATAAAAAGTACCAAAATAGGAGATCTATGTTTGACCATAAAATAAGAGTTTGCGACTTTGCACGAAGGGAATGTGACAATTTATATTGACATTACACAGTATTTTTTTGATATTATATGCTGATATTATTAACATTCTAACTCCTATTTTAAAAAACTTTCTCTGTGTTTTATTTGATAGGTTCCTGTGCCACTACATTACGGTACCACTACAATAAGTGTTTTGTTTGCAAAATTGATGATTCTTACTCCTCCTATTCCCCCGGTGAATCCCCTACCCTGGCCCGACCTGAACCCATCCTCCATCCCCATCAATCGGACCCTCCAAATTTAATTGACTTTGAAGTCAAATGTTTTACACCAAAATCTATTAAACTTGGGGGTTCAATTGATGGGGATGGATTATGTCGGGTCGAGTGGACATTTACCGAAGATTAGAGCGTGTGAACCATCAATTTTGCGAATGAAGCACCACAAGTGTCACAAAATCTGAAGGACATCGTAATGGCACTGTACTTCGACAACAATAAAACGGTGTCTATGTTTTTTACTCATAGTTTATTTATTTTTCTAATAAAATCTGTGTCTATTGGTTTACGGAGTACTTTTTTTGAAAATGCTAGTGTAAGTGTGTTACAGAGAGTACGAGACACACCGCAAATTATATCTTACATCCGGTTGTACGGTTCTTCCTGTACATCTGAAAAAAATTAGCAGTATCACAAGCGATCAGAGGAGGAAGAGACGGAAGCGGGAAGAGAGTGGCAACTAGAGCATGGCATCTGGCGGTTGGAAAAGGAAGAAGGGGAGGCCGGCGCAGAACCCTAGGTGCGATGAAGTGAAGCATGGCAGCCGCGATGGAGCGATGCAATGAACCCTGGGTGCAAGGTTTGTAAATGCAATGAAGATGCGATGAACCATGGCTTAGATGGTTAGATGGCATGCGATGAAGATGATAGACACTCGAGTTAATTAGACTATTGAATTATATTTTCAAAATTTGAATGAAATGAAGGGTACGTTACTTGAGAATAAACACTACATTATTTGTCAATGAGCACTACTTTATTTGAAAATGAACACTACATTATTTGTCAATCAGCACTAGTTTATTTCAAAATGAACACTATGTTATTCATAAATGAATATTATAATGAGTAAATTCCATAAAAGGTCCCCAGTTATAAGTCGTTTTACATATTTAGTCCATACATATCAAATATTACTAATTTAGTCCTCAATTATTATATTCATTTCCACGAATGGTCCTTTGTTAACATTTTAGTCAAGAACGTGGATAAAATTGTAAATTCGCACTCCTTTCTCTCCTCAATTAATCTTCCTCCGTTCCATCGCACTCCTTTCCCAAAACCGTCGCTGAGTTTGAAGCTTTGAACCCAAAATCGAAATCATCACTCTTCTCTCAATTGTTTGTCTAACTGGTGGAACCCAAATTCGAAACTGGTAACCTTCATGAATGAGTTTTAATGTTTATTTTCTTTGTAATTTCTTGAAACTAACCGATAAAACTCATCCATAAAACTTATTGGTTTTGATTTTAGGTTCCACCAGAAAGACTAATAATTGAGAGATGAATGATCATTTTAGTTTTGTGTTTAGAGCTTCGAACTCAGCTACGAGTTTGGGAAATAGTACGAGAAGAGGGAGGAAGCTTAATTGAAAAGAGAGAAGAGTATGAATATACAATTTTATCCATTTTCTTAACAAAAACGTTAACAAAGGAACATTCGTGAAAAAATGATATAATAATTAGGGACTAAATTAGTAATATTTGATATGTAGAGACTAAATATGTAAAACGACTTATAAATGGAAACCTTTTATGGAATTTACTCAACTCTATTATAATTGTATTCAACAAATGTATAAAAATAAGTACTACATTATTTCAGAATGAGTATTACGTTAATTCAAAGAAACACTTATCTTTTGTACGAGAATGAGTACTACCCGCTTGCACCTTATTTCTAGTAGAGCCTCCAGTACCGGACGGAGACACACATGTGTACAAGGATAACTCTATCAACCATGCTACACTTACACCAAAAAGTGTACTCCAAAGTTACACCAAAGGTATACACTAACATTTTGATGGTTATACAGAAATTTGAACTAACATTTTATGTATGTGTGAGCTATTACTATAGCATTACACTGACACAAAATAAAAGTGAAAATCTGCGGTGTACAAATTGGGGTACAAATAACTTAATCGTAACCTTATTTTTTAGTCTATTGGTTTATCTGGTGGAGCATGTTGCATGTACCCCAAAATTTGTACATCAAATGTATGCACCAAAATTTTGATGGTTCACACTGATACAAAGTGTTAGTGCGTTAATAAAAAATTACACTGACACAAAATGTTGGTGCGTTATTAAAAATTAGCATTACATCAACACAAAATATTGGTGCATCCGTAGGGTGTACAGAGTAAGTTCGTGGGATACAAGTAGTATTTCCCATCTCTGGTTCCTGGCAGTGTCAGCAAAAACGCTTTTCCGTAGAAAAATGGAATTTCCTTTCGGGCTTCGCCACCCATCCCACCATCACCACGGCCGCGAAGACGATCTCCCACCACCACCTCCACCGGAAGTCAGCTATGTCCACCACACCTCTCATGTAGGCGGTTCTGAACCATACCCACCGCATCTCGGATATCCGCCTCCGCCGGAAGTTGACTTTGTCCAGCACTCTGAACCATATAGCCGGCCTTATCCGCCTCCGCCAGCCGTCCACCACATTGGACACCATGGCGGTACGTACCATCCACCGCCACCGCCAGTTTTCCACCACCCTGAACCCTACGGCGGTACTTATCCTCCACCGCCAGCAGTCCACCATGTTTCTCACGAGAGCTACGGCCATGAATTTCAGTCCAATTCCTCTGATGTCCCTCACAAGGCACCGCATCCGCACCACCGGGAAATCTCCAACCGGCCTACTGTTCGTGTTTTCTGCAGGGCCGAAACAAATCACTCGCTGTCCATCCGTAACGGAAAGGTCATTCTGGCCCGTACAGATCTCTCTGATCCATACCAAGTATGATCTCTTCCTATATCTCTCCTTCGATTTTAACTTAATCGGATTAATCAGTGTTTGCTAATTCACATATGGGGAAATTTTGCAGCACTGGATCAAAGATGAGAAATTTAGCACCAAAGTTAAGGATGAAGAAGGACTTCCCAGCTTTGCTCTGGTGAATAAAGTTACAGGGGAAGCTATCAAGCATTCTATTGGTTCCACCCAGCCAGTATGTGTATTTATTCAGCTATAGTTATCAATCACTAGCTCTTGTGCCCATTGTTGTGCTTATTTTCCAGTCAATTGTGCATTTCTTATCCAGATCTTTTTACTCCTGTGTTCATTGCTACCCGAGTGACACTACCGAAACTGTGTATTGCCCAAGCCCCACTAAACCCCTAATGGATAAGCACTTAAACCCTGTGGGTAGAAATATAGCTCAATTTTTTGTGGTGCAATGCATTATATACTTGATGGAATTAAACTGAATTTATTTGAGCTTGAGAAATGATCTTACTTAGATAATTTACACATCTAACTACTGTAACTAGAGTTAAAGTAATATTAATTCATGTTACACTTGTAATTTTGGTTTTAAAATACGTTTGATTAAAAACATGTTTAAGGATTTGATAATCTTGTTGGTGAAGATGTGAACTTGGTTGTTTGTCTATTGAATTTAGTTTCTAGATTTGCGTACAGTTGTACACTTTTGTTCTAGCATCTAGTTGAGGATAAAATCACTCGATTTTCCCCCGTGGATTCGATCAGCTATAGTACAGTTTTATTACTACATCGGGCTTGTACACTCATGGATTCGATCCGCTATATTCCAATTTTTACCATGGATTCGATCACTGAACTAATAGAGCAAAGAATGGTTAAGAGATGATTTTTTGGACTCTTTTTCTCACTCAGACATTTCTTCCAAAGAAGATTCTTAATGGAAGCAGATACAAGTCGTACATACATATCTAAATAAATAATGTTTGCTCGTAACCAAGTAGTTCAAGCATATGATTGAATTACATTTTAAAAATTTATCTATGTTACTATATTCTTACATCCCTTCACGTAATGTTTCGTAATTTAGATTAATCAGCTTTCACGGAACTATTTCAGGTGCAGCTCACTGCTTACAATCCTGATCGTCTCGATGAGTCCATCTTGTGGTCGGAGAGCAAGAAGACGGGGGATGGGTATAGAGCTATCAGAATGGTTAACAACATTTGCCTCAATATGGATGCGTTCCATGGGGACAAAGATCATGGGGGTGTCCATGATGGGACCACTGTTGTTCTATGGGAATGGACAAAAGGAAACAACCAACAATGGAAAATCATGCCCTATTAATGTGAGTCTATCTTGACATTGTATATATATGATGTGCGCGTCTCTATCGTCTGTCCACCCTATATGATTCCCTCCGTCCGGAAATGATCTTCTCATTTGACTTTCTTGGTCAAAATTTTTAAACTTTGACCTCGATATATGAAAAAAATACATTGTGTTTCGATATAAAAATAATATCAATAGTTTCCTTATGAAACGTAGTTTTGAAATATTAAATTTTCATAAAATATATTCATGTCTAAGGGTAGATACTAATGCTCAGTGTTATATACTTATATTGGAGACCATGAAAAGTCAAATGAGAAGATCATTTCTGGACGGAGGGAGTATATATATAGTCAAATGGTTTCTGGACAGAGGGAGTATATATATTAAATTTTCAGTCAAATGGTTTGCCTGACAATCTCCTCCTATGGGTTCATTAAAGTGGTATGCATTTGTAAAGTTTAAAGTTTGTTTAGGGCGGCATATGCCTTAATTTCCCGTTTCTAAAAAAATGTTTCTACAAATAAAACCATGTTGCATATTATCCAAGTATATGTCAATGATAAATTATCCAAGTATCACACATTGAACAAAACGAACTTTTGAAGCCTTGCCCTTTTTATGGTGGAATGCATAATATGGTATTAGATTTTGTTAGGCTCTCATGAGTATGTCTTGTCAATTTTATTAAGGTTAAAAAATGAGCATATAGAATGTAGGATTGGTATGTTTCAATAATGTGCGATTGTGTATCCTCCTCGAGTCCGTATTATTTTAAAATTAGAATAATTTCCAAAAAGAAGATTCCCTTTATAACATGGGTTTTCCGACATATAGTCCACTTTGTAAAATCATTATATTCATGGTCCTCTATATTCGAAATTATTCCACGTCAAGTCTTTTTGAGACTTATCGTGAAATTGTTCCAAATATAAAGGGCCACCGATATGTCTCAAATGGAATAATCGTGGAATTACATATTTTTTATCATAACTATCAAAATGCTCTCAATGCAGGTTATTTGGGATTACATATTACAATTATACAGCATCAATGGAAAGCCATATGTTAGGCTGTTTCCGACGTGTTGGTGTCACTTGTATTATGTTATTGTTGTATTTGGGTGTCAACTGTTGTCCTCGGCTTTTTGTGTAACCTTTAATCCGTTGTGATTAACTGATTAATGTTTGAGCGAGGCATTATATGTATGTATGTATGAGTAATAATAAAAAGAATTGTGAGCACTCAATTGCAAACTTTTAAAAGGATGTAATGGGATATTGATTGCATCATCAGTTCTTAGTTATATTAATCCTTCTCGGTTTTCATGCCTTGAGATTCGAAAATTGTGATTTCAAGGTGTTTAGAATGAATGAATGGAAGAACGACGATGAGAATGGTGGATTTTTTCTTGTCTCAGTTGTCCCAAATTTGGGGTCAAACTTTGTCAGGAATTTTATCTTAAATCAGGCTTTCCAAGCAAAAGGAGTCCTTACCCTATCGTGAGAGATAGGGGTGTTCATCTATCTAAGACCGGATTGAACCGGACCAACCCGGATCGGATCGGACGAATACTGAATTGATTAAAATTACGGAACAAAAACCGGACCTAAATCTATTCGGATTTGGATCGGACCAGACCGAAATACTTAGGATCGAATCGGTTCGGACCAATTAGATCGAATAAAAACGTACTTTTTTAATTATTTTGATCAATTAAATATATTTCAGGTTTTGATAGTTTGTCTTTCAAAAAAAATATTTTAGGCTTTTTATTTTAGTCACTCTTTATTCAAATGCAAAACAATATCAATGTACAACCAAATTTGACCTAATACACAAACAATTATATACTTTGTCACACCGTATTGTGTCATTTAACACAGTATACTTTGTCACACCACACAGTGCCATCTAACACAGCACTCTTAATGAATTAACATTTTCACATCATCAGAATCCTTTATAGCATTTAATCATTATTTTGTTCTAAGAATGTTTACATACATTGATTTCTTCATCAATTTTAGAATCCATCTGCACTTTCTCAAAATTCGCATTTGCTGCAGGCTTCATATCAGATCCACTTTCCTTCTCAAAAATTTGCATGACAATAATAATGATAACACAGTTTCACATATTCACAATATAGCATCATATTTAATACTAGAGTAAATGGTCCTACATTTCCTTCTATTGTGCCTTTCAAAATATCATTCACCTCATTATCCATTTGTTCAAGAAACGGATCACTGTACTATATTTCAAACAACAGAAACATAGGCAAAGTCTCAACGTTTCTTTCATCTCTCATACCTTCTTTGATTTTATCATCTTCCTTATTACTGACTGTGGTGTTGACATGACCAAGATCAGTGTCATCATGTTTGAAAGTAACATCTTTTCCCACATCTTCATGATCAGTGTCATCTTGTTCCAAACTAGTACCTTTCCCCATGTTTTTATTTTCCATGTCTTCACTTTCAATATTTTCATTTTCATTGACATTTTCATCATCTATCTTTTTAAAACATCTCTCCTCTATATCATCTCCCTTTTGTCCTTCTTACTACTCAAGCATCATTTTCAGCACCTTGCCTTGGCTTTCCTACATTTTTTCATGTCATTGAGAATTGTTATAATCTTACTCTGACTCTTCCTATTACTCTTAGACTTTCTCTTTTGCAGCAATTCCCCCTTCATGCGGTAACTAATTCTCTTTCTCTTTTCTTTTGGCTTGTTTTGGACATTTCCAGCTGTTGATTGTTTCCTTTTCTTAGCACTACCAACTCTCAGATTTTTGCTAGAGTTGCACCTTAGTTTCTTCCAAGCTCTCAATATGTTGCACAGTGTCACCTATCCCCCCTGCTATGTATTCTTGGTAGATAATGCCAACGAAGGATCATTTAACTCCTCACTTGGAACAATCTCTAACATTTCAAACTGTGCAAAATAATAAAAAAATATATTAATATAATTCAGATTTACTTCATATTCTCATAAAAAGAGAATACTATAAAATACTAACCTCTTGATTTTCAAATATAGCTTCCTGAAAAAAGTGTCCTGAAATCTTTGCATATATCTCCCACCTTAGGCAATGTGGGATCCAACCATCTCTTCCTTTTACAATTTCACAATGCCCTAACTCTCTCGGGGAATGAAATTTCTCAAATGCCCATACCTGTAAGTCAAAGACAAACCCTACAAACGTCACTCTTCTCCTTCCACAACTTTTAAGGCATTGTGCATATCTCCCAACATGTGTTAACAACTCTTTCCATGTGTCTTCACCCCATGAGAATTCATTGAATACATCCAAATCATCCACTAGGTTAATGTATCCAATAATAAAAGTAACACATGACTTGTGCCCAAACATAATATTGCCTAACAGATACAACAATGCTAGCTTCGCTACATTCTCACTTTCTACTTCAGGGTCATCTATGTTGTGCTGCAACAGTGCATCCATAATATGACATCGCTGAACAGATTTTTCTCGTATTGAAATACCTTAACCCAAAGCCGCCCAACCTTTCATCATTCAAACTTATTCTATTCCCTCCACTTCCCAGTCCTGTGATAAGTTCAAATTCTAACTTTGTGAACAAGACTTTTCTCTTCTTTATTTTGAACTTCATTTTTTTACATCGAGTTATTCCTTGCTTTGGCAACTTATACCTTTCTAACAGACCAACTAACAGCCCATTACTAATACATCTAACTTCAGGAACATCCAACAAATTTTTAAAAACTGTGCCTCTAAACACTTCAAGCTCCTCCTTTCTCAACACGCCTTTAATTCTACGTATTGTCTCAAGCACATTACAATAAGTGTTTATTCTTCTATCTTTAGGCTGTGCTCTATCACCTTTCTTCAAAAATTTACGTGATACTTGTATATTAAAAGATTGTTTAAAACAACGATAAGTCACAATGCAACCTCTAACAATATGACCATATAACTTCTAGAAAATACAATTGAACAACAACAATAAGTCACAATACAATTCTTCACAACATGAACCATAGATCTGCTGGAAAAACACAATTGAACAACAACGATAAGTCACAATGCAATCTCTAACAGCATGACCATAGATCTATTAGAAAAACGCAATTGAACAACAACGATAAGTCATAATGCAATCTCTAACAACATGAACCATAGATCTACTAGAAAAACACAATTGAACAACAACGATAAGTCACAATGCAATCCCTCACAACATGACCATAGATCTACTAGAAAAATGCAATTAAACAACAACAAGTCACAATGCAATCTCTAACAATATGATCATACAACTTCTGGAAAAGTGCAATTGAACAACAACAATAAGTCATAATGCAATATCTAGCAACATAACCATATAAACTACTCGAAAAACGCAATTGAACAATAACGATAAATCACAATGCAATATCTAACAATATGACCATATAACTTTTGGAAAAATGCAATTGAACAACGAAAATTCACAATGCAATCTTTCAAAACATCACCATATAAACTATTGGAAAAACGCAATTGAACAACAACGAAAACTCAGATTTGGAAACTCAAATTCATCACCTTCTATCGCTTTGCCATTTTCTTTGTCGCATTTCGCTTATCTTTGTCAGCAATTTCATCCGATTGAGTGTCTTCGTCGTCCATCATCTTCTTTGACTAAGTAAGAAGCAGATGAATTAGGAAGCAAGCGAATTTATTTGATTGTTCTTCTTGGCGCTATAATCGAAGAAGATTATTATTATTTTACGGGTAATTGGAAAGTTTTGATGGCTAGTTGCCAATAGCAAGCATGCTATGGTTGCTAAAGGTGACTCTTATTGGTGAGATTTAATCTTTCCATTCCTATTTTAAGGGGCTGTTTGGCAACTTCTGAATAGGTAAGTGCTGAACCAGTAAGAGGTCTGAACCATTAAGTGCTGAACCAGTAAGAGGTCTGAACCATTAAGAGCTAGTATATTGCTTAACTATTCAGAGGCAAATATCTGATCAATTCAGATAAGAGCTCTTAACCATTTAGACTCTGTATAATACTTAACCATTCAGAGGCAAATCTCTTAACCATTCAGACATCTGAACCATTAAGAGGCTGAAACAAACAGTGTGAACCATTAAGTGCTGAACCATTCAGACATCTGAACCATTAAGTGGCTGAAACAAACCGCTCCTAAGCTTTTGTTTTACTCCTATATGGCTCCTTAGCCATTTAAACCCATTTAGGAATGACATCAACCGAACGGACAAGTCATGAAAATAGGAAAAACAGTAGGCGCTACACAGCTGAGTTCGTGCGCTGCTCCACCCAATATCGAACCAATTTTAGTGCCGTGCGTGGCCTGAGAGTAGACGGAACACGCCGGAGGTCGCGTCTCTTCCCTCTCTGCTGCTGTATCGCTCTCTCTGTCGAAGAAGAGAACTGTAAATCGATCTTCCTCCTCGCCGCGATGTATCTGACGGTGCTCGCTGCTGTGACTCGTCCGTAGAAGAAAAGAGCAGGCTGGAATCGATAGCTCTCAGTCGCGTCTCTCCTCTCTCCTCTGTTCTCCTTGGAGAGAAAACTTTTCATAGGTAGTTTAATAAAAATCTTATTTTGGTTGAGTTATTGTAAGGAGCAAATACGGGAGAAATGAGTTCCGAGGAAGCGTCGGCTACGATATTGATTCGGCATCTCCCGGAAGCTATTCCGCCGGAAACCCTCTCCAGACTCTTTTCTCACTATGGGGCATCCTCCGTGCGGCCATGTACTCATGGAAGGTGAGGGCACTCTATTCGACCTTAGGACACTGATACTGATTCTTCTCGTGTTTTCCTTTCCAATTACACGGAATGCATAAAGTTGTTTAATCAATATTCTTTACTAGTAACTCATAACTTCTGGAGGAGCTATTGTACAACCGGTACATGTAGATTGTGCAATCATTCCTCAAGCATAATATGCTCACTATTGATCAAGAAATTGCTAGCTAAATGAAAGTTGTGTGCTCAGTAAACAAAAAATTTGTGCTCACTCTGCACACTCATTTTATACTATAGAAAACTTAAATGCTCGCTAACCGGAAATCAGTCGCTCCATAATTCACTATAGTATTCTTGTAGAATTTCTGCATCTTTGAATAATTGGTTAATTCATCCAAATTCTTTAGAAAGCTTTCAGTTTGAGTAATGTTATAGCGGGTGTTTAGAAGCCCACATACGAGTTGGATATGGATGACTTACCCTGACCTGCATGTGGCATCTCCAGTGTAAAAAATTGTGCATTTGTAGATTTCAAGGATGAAGCATTGGCATTTCAAGCACAAAGACAGTTGAATGGGTACTTAAATTTATTTATTTTCCATTTTTTTGTTGGAGTTTGAGTCCGCATTACCTTGAGTATGTTTACTTCTATCAGCCTACGGTTTCTGGGTAAGATATTATCCGTTGAAAGAGCTAATAAACAAAGTGAGGCTGACAAGCTTCCACCCAGTGCACCTGGGACTGGAAAGGACTCAATCACTTTAATCAAAGATAGTGCTTCATACAAAGATCTTGATGGAAGCTCACTCTCTTATCGCCGCAATGAACCTATTGCCGAAAGACTTGGAGTGGACTATCCATTTCCCCCCCATCTCGAGTAAGCACACTTTCCACCAATTATTGTGATTTACTTCAGTGAGAGTGTGTGACACCTAGATGCTCATATTTGTCATCATTTCACTTTACTATAGTATCTTGACTTACTTTTCACTAAGAAAGAACATCTTCTCATTAATGTGAAGTACTTTTTGTCTACCTAAACATGTATCTGTGAGGCCATGGAGACGACTTGCACCAGATTGCATGCAGAAATGTAATTTATAGATTAACTAATTAAGGATGCATCACTGACTGAGGGGGTGACAAGGAAACTATGTTCCAGTAATACTGATTGTCACAAGTTCTCTACTTGTTAGTGGTGTCTACATATTACTGACTAACCTGTTTGGAAACAGATATGCATATCCCCCACCTGATGGCCACATCTTGACTAATATTGTAAATGCTCTTATTGCTGTTCCAAGGTTTTACACACAGGTAGCACTAGTTTCCTATTTTAGCTTTTCTGCTTTATTGTGATTTTTTCCTCCTCAGCATGGTCAGTTGGTGTTTTTCTCCATTATTGTGTTCGTGTTTTACGTAACATGGCCAGTGAAGTTAACCAATTCTATCTGTTCTGTCTAGTTTATTTTACTTCATTAAAAAAATCTATTAAACATAAATTGCAGGTCTTACACTTGATGAACAAGATGAATATTCCAGCCCCATTCCGGACTGCATTGCCCACTCCACCTTTGCCAACCCCACCATCTTTCACCCCTCAACCTCCTCCACCGCCTCCTCCAACAGATACCGGAACTAGAGCAGACAGTTTGCTGAGCAGTGAATCAGAAATGGAGTCTTCAGATGAGGTGGACATCTATTAGAGTATTTCATGCTTTATATGTTTGCAATGACACCTACATGAGCATTAATTAGAGTATTTAATGCTTTATATGTTTGCGATGACACCTAGGGCACCCTGTTTAAAATAAGTTAGGGAGCCATTGTTTGTTTTTTGTGAAGTAGAAGATGAAATTATTGTCTTGTGTTAGGCAAGTTTTTCCATTAGAGACAAGGAGTATTATCAGTATTATGGATAAAAAAATATTTGGTGGGACTTGGGAGGGAAAATAATTTAAATGCGAGCAAGTGTGATTTTGATTCCTCTTCTCCATGGCTATATAATCTTCTGGTTGGACAGTTTTTAAGTACCGAACCTGATTTTCAAGTTTCCACGATTCTTTAGCTAACCAAATCATTTAAAATGGTTTACCTTGAAATTTTATTATACATTTTCGTAGTGATTCCAAAACAACATTTTATTTCAGGAAAGTAATTTCATAGAAGAACAATTTCCATGTAATAATGTATTTTACTATTTTACTTTAATTGTAGCAGGGAAATATGAACGGGTTGTTAGAGTTTGTATAATTATTGCTGACAGATCCTTGATCCGGGGGTAGTTTTGGCACCAGGAAATATAACAATATAGTAAGAAACTAGGGTTTCATTTAGAGCGTGTCCTCTGCTCCCTCTTTGAAGAAGTGGGCTATTCATACCTTTACATTGTCGTACATGTAGAACTAGCTATGTCATCATATTATGTCATCTAAGAGATGTTGGGACAACCCAACACGGGTGGCCCAATGGGAATTAGAAACCCGCTGACAATTAATTTAATAGAATCTGACAAATTATGATGCTTTTGTGAATTTTATATTTCAGGAAACTCCACGTGTTGGTGGCATAAAAAGAAAGCGGATGAAGCAAGAAACTATTGTAGGTCCTGCTGTGAACAAGTACGTGGCTCATGAGGCTGTTGGATTGAAACCTGCAGTTTTGCTTCCAAAAGAAATGCCAATAGTAAAAAAGAAGAACCCTGTATTGCAGGTCTCGTGATGGGTTTTAAGATCAACTCTATCTTCCATTTTTAACATGGTGGTAATTAGTCTTTATGTGTTTGCAGATCAAAATAGCACCTAAACAGGTTCATTCTGAACTGATCAATGATGATAGTATAAGTGAGGTGCATAGGGAAGATGAATTGACTTTAGATAATAAGGCTGTTCTGACTATTGAAGAATTGAAGAGTGGGAAATTAGTTCCTGAAGAAATTTTGTCACTTCCAGTGTTCAAGGTAGGAAGTTCTGCTTCTCCATCATTTTCCATAACATATAAATAATCAAAGTAGCTTTTGAGATGCTTTTCTGCATGAATTGACTTAATAGCTTATTTCTGCATGCTTTGCACAGAATTATTCTGTCGGGAATCCTTCTTGTGTGCTGTACATAAAAAATTTGTCAAGAGATGTCATTCCTGATGACTTCTACTTCATTTTTGGTAACTGACTATGTTCTATCTCATTCTAAGGCTTGAATTTTTGTTTTGCTTGTTAGCTTTAAGTCTTTAACCATACAAGATACTTATGAGTTATGAGAAATTGGGGGTTGGGGTGTAGACTTTAGACTTATGATTTTATGTTATAGTTATTTTTTATGCACACAATTTGATGTGTGATAGATATCCTTTCACTTCTTCCAGCTGATTATGTGTTTAACGATCCACAGGATCTTTCTTTGGAAGTATTGATGCTGCTAGATCCAATCTGACTGTGAAGTTAATGCAGGTGCGATATTTATCCTTATTTCAAAGCCATTATCTTCATAATTGGAAGTCCGACTTTTGTACACCTATATTTCTTAATCATATCTAACATGATACTTCAAAGGACTATCACTTGGAATGGTGAAGGTTGTCTGCCTTCTTGAAATTGATGGTTAGGAAGAGATTGAGGGGTTGAATGAGTAAACAGTTAGCAATGAGTAAAATAAGCAACACAACAATGATAAACATGCAGTAGAACTTGTATTGACAGCTCGGAGCTTACTTTTAGGGGGACATTGATGTTCTGATGCTAAGTAGTACTCCCACCATTCTTAATTTATGTTCCCATTTACCATTTTGCGAGGATTTTGAGAAAATGAAATAGTGTGGTTGAGATTTATTTATTAACAAAAAAATGAATATGGGCCAAATAGTTTTTTCCCTAAAGGGAAAGTGGAGGATAAAAAAGGGGGTGATGGAGTAGTATTTTTTAGTGTTAAAGACCCCCCCCTCCACCACCCTTACACAACTGGTAGTGTAAGGATTTTGTGATATACCTAATAGTTGAACATGGGAGGACATTCCTCAAACATCTTCTATTAAGGCGGAGGACGACGAGGCATATGTCGGGCTAGGTAGACCCGACCTATACCAATGCTTATATCATGGAACAGGTGCACCACTATGTATATATGTGTGTGTGTGTATGCAACACACACAATTAGTTATTGATAGTAGTTATAGTTATAGTTTCGTGGTCACATGCTTGTGTTAATATACAAGAGATTGCATGTTTGCACCTCAAGATTATACACACACACATTAATGTGGGATAAAAATTTCCCGCTTTTTTACTCTCTCCGTCCATAAATAAACTTCCCGCTTTGACCGGGCACACATTAATGTGGGATAAAAATTTCTTTGACTTTCTTATTATACCCCTGCACCTCTACATCTCTCAATCGATCAGTTAGCCACCTGCCCTTGCCAACACCACACTGGCGATTCTCCGGCACCGCGGACAACTCTCCAGCACCGTCGCCGCCGACTCTCTGGCACCACCGGATGACCTCTCTGGTTCTTATTTTTGTCGTAGATCTATTCTAGATTTGTTTTGTATCTTCTTGTTGAAGACAACCCAGAAAAGGATGAATCTCTTGCATCCGAGGTTTTGATGGCGAGAAGCGAGGCTAGAAGTAACAGATGCTTTGTAGATCTATGGAATTGATGGCAGCTATGCCGGAAGAGGAGTAGATCTGACCGCCGTGTCAACTCCGACCACCGCCTTGCTGCTCCGTTGCTCCCAATCACTGGGTGACGGGGCAATTTTTGAAGGGGGAGGGAAAAAATGAAAGTAGATGAAGAAGAAGAAAAGAAAGAAGAAGAAGAAAAGAACGAAGAAGAGAAGAAACAAACGAATAAGAAGAATAGAGAAAAAAGAAAGAAAAAAATGAAGAGGGAGTGGGTGAATCAAAGGGGAGATGAAGAAAAGAAAAAAAGAGAAGAAAAGGAGAAAGAAGAATGGGTGGGATCAGGGACGTGGATCGAGAGAGGAAGAAGAAAAAAGAAAAGAAAGAGAGTGGATGGATGGGGATAATTAAGACTTTTTTGTATAAAAAAGTTTCCAAAAAAGGAAACAGGAAGTTTATTTGTGGACGGACGAAAAAGGAAAGTGAGAAGTATTTTTGTGGACGGAGGGAGTATATATATATAGACACACACACACATGCAACACACAATTAGTTAGTGATAGTAGTTATAGTTCAATGGCCACATGCTTGTGGTAGTAACAAGAGATTGCATAATTGAACCTCAATATACTTTTAACTTTTAATGTTTATTTACACCAAGTGTAATCGTATTTACACAAATAATAGTAGACATGTATGCTAATTTTACTAGTATTTACTCTACAATTTTTATTGTTGTATTTACAGCTATGTTATCTAAATATATTCATGCTATATTTACATTGATTTGCACATTTACACTAATTGCAAATGTAATTACATGAGTGTCCATGCTTCGTTTACACCAATTGAGGGTTTACACTAAGTGCAGTATCATTTACACCATTGTTAGCTACTCTGACTGAGTATTTGGTGTAAATAAATGAAAAATAGTTCAAACAAATTTCTTTTCAATGAAAATCAAACTCTCCTTATACCAACATCGACACACGCGCTCAACCGCTCGATCATCAGTACTCCTTGTATTTTAAATGAGAACACTTATGCATATCACAGTAATATAAAAATAAAAAAAGTCATCGCACGCATAGGAGCACCGTCCACATCTTATGGTGGTTACACGATATAATTTGCGGAAATATATCCCTATGCTGTGCTTTCTAGTTGGGCTTGTATGTTGGAAAAATGGGTTGATGCTTGAACTATCCCCTTGGCTTGAGTGGTAGGAAGCCTACTCTCCAAGATTCATGGGGAAGTTCACCCATGTTCGAGCCCCAGCAAAGGTGGAGGCATTGGCTCATTGTGCGTTATTAGATTGAGAATAGTATGAAAAGATATTACTTTTAATCGAGTCAATAGCACTAAAAAACATTATGTATTTAGAAAATGGGTTGATGCTTTTGAGCTATTATCTCAAAATAGTTATGATGCCTATATGTTGCTTTTGTCTAAACATTCATTTACTTTTTTTTATCTGTTACTAATTTGTAGAGATGTCCTTTGCTCTAGACCAGTCATTTATTATATTTTTAGGGGTTACGTTATCTTGTCCATTGGCTAAGCAATGTAATTTTAAAATTATTTTATCATCATAAGTGAATAATATACTGCATTAGAAAAGTTGTTCGAGAAGTATTAACATTGGCTAGGGGTAATGCAAACCGATATAGAGGGGACTGTGATGGAATAGTGAAGTGTAAGGAAAAGTTGAAGCCAAGAATGTGGCTTATAAGAAGTTCATGGAGAGTAGTGATGAGGAGGATAAGAGGTCGGTCTGAGCAAAGTATAAGATTGCTCAGAAAGAAGGTTTTTGCTGCAGAAAATGCAACAGTTGAACAGTTGTATAATGACTTGAGAGAAATAGAGGACAGATGAGATTGTTTTGGTTGGTTGAGGTGTAAGAGAGGAAGGTTCGAGATCTCTACCATGCGAGGTGTATTAAAGGTGGAAATGGCATGGTTTTGATGGATGCAGTGGAGGTTAGACATGAATGGCAGTCATACTTTCATAGTCTTGTAAATGTTGGAGGGGATGAGAGTCTGCTACTAGGTGAGATGGGGCAGTCTGTCTTAGAGCTCAAGTTTTTTTATACTGCCAACTCATTACACATGATTACATGAAGAAGTGGTGAAAGCCATTAGCAGGACGAGGGGGGGGGGGTTGGGACAAGACGAGATTGTTGTGGAATTTCAGTAGATCATGGACAGAGATTGGTTGGTATGGATTAATGGATCACCAATTTGTTAAATGTTATTTTCAAGACAAGTAAGAAGTTTGGAGAGTGGAGGGAGAGTGTGATGATCTCGTTGTATAAGGACAAAGTTGTGACCAAAATTGCAATAATTATAGAGGCATCAAATTGCTCAGTCACACCATCAAGGTTTGAGAGCAAATAATAAATATGAGGTTTAGAAAATAGGTGATCATTTTTGAAAATAATTTGGATTCACACCGGGTCAGTCAACCACATAAGCCGTTCACCTCGTAAATAATGTTTGCATTATTTGTGGATGTTTTGGTGCAGCATATCCAAGGGAAAGTACCTGCATTCTTTTTCAATATGACATTGTTATGATGAGACACGTGAAGCTCTCAACGATAGGGTAGTGTTGTAGGGATAAACTTTGGAATCAAGGGTTTTAGATTGTGCCGTACTAAGAGCAAATATGTGGGATTGGGATGCTATTTCAGTGGTTTAATGGAGTCAGAAGTGGAAGTGAAGATTGGCAAACAGCCACTAAATAAAAGGGACAAGTTTTAGTACCTTGGATCCATCATTCAGGTTGATGGGGATATTGTTCGTTGTATTGGAGTCGCTTGGATGAAGTGGAAGTTTACTTCATGTGTCCTATGCAATAAGAGGATATCAACAAAACTAAAAAAGAAATTTTATGGGACACTGGTCACACTAGCTATGTTGTATGAGTGGTGTGTTGGGTTATGAAAAGAACACACATTTTCGGAAACTCCAAGTGGTAGTTGACGACGTGTGGATGGATGTGTGGTCAAATGAGGTTGCATAAGGTCTGCAATGAAGATATTTTGGGGAAGGTGTTAATGGTCTATATGGAGGTTAAGCTGCGTGAAGCTTTTCTGAGATGTGGTTTGGGCATGTGCTCAGGAGAAGTATAAATGCTCCAGCAAGAGTGGGGAGGTGCGAGAGGCTTGAGGTAGGGGACATAAAGACTAAAGAGAGATAGAGATAGATCTAAATATCTAAGAAGAGTTAGAAAGAGGTAATTAGGCATGGCTTAAAATTTCAGAAGCTAATCAAGGATATGACCTTAGATAAAAATAAAAGTATCTCGGGTGTCTAGAATTAAGGTGGCAGGGTAGGTTTTTGGGCAGTGTTGTAGCCTTGTGTAGGATTTTCCAGTCTTAGTTTATTATATCTACCATGGTTGTCAAGTCGTCGCCTAGGCCACGACTAGTCGCCGACTAGTCGTCCAGGTGGTTTTGCCATGGAGATTTGCTGTACGACTAGCGCCTATGGCCGACTAGGCTATTAAGCGTGCTTAGCGACGCTTAGCCGCGATTAGGCGACGCCTAATCGGTGAAAAAATTGGCCGATTTTGACCTAATTCAATTGACCCGACCCAACCCGACCCGACCCAATCGGCAGTCTGGAGGTTCGCGACTCTAGGCTTCCCGTTCCAGGGTGACTTCCGCGACTTCCAGCCAGCGGCTCTCCTCCATCGATTCTCCTCCATCAGCCTCCAGCAACGACTCTCCTCCATGGGTAAGATTTCTTTTACTTTGTTATCATTAAAGTATACTCTATTTGATTTAATTTTCATTAATTTGGTTCATTAAACTATAAAGTATAATATACTTAAAAATTTTCAGTTTTCTTCTATTTTTTTAATATTTCAGTTTTTTTTTTTCTGATTTCAGTTAATATTTTAATTTTTTTTCTTATTCTAGTATTTTAATATTTCAGTTTTTTTTCAGTTTAATATTTCAATTTTTTTTTATTTCAGTTTTTTGATAACTCAAAACATGGAATTAACTATTTTAATATGTCCTTTGACTTCTTATTTGGTTAATTATCTTTCTTGGTGTGTTATTTTTAAAGATTGAAGGATATTTGTTTGTTATCATGTTATGTACTCTTTGTTAAGTGACTTTATGTGCTATCTGTAAACATAAGTTCGCTTTGGTTATGGTGTTTTGACATATATATATATATATATATATATATATATATATATATATATATATATATATATATATATATATATATATTCATGTTGGGTTAATGTAGATATATATAATGTTAAAAATTTTAATACTAATTGTGATTTGTCGCCTAGTCTACGACTAGTCGCCTAGTCCACTAGTCTCCCTGTCACCGACTCAACTCGACTTGTCGACTTAACAACCATGATATCTACGTGTATGGTTGCTTCATTCATGTTTCTCTCCTTTTTATCCCTTTTTCTTTACGTGGCTTTTTGTGTTTCTTTAGTTTTAAGCTAGGGTTTCTTATAAACAGCCCCTCTACTTTCTACATAGGGTTAAGGTCACCCTCTACTCCCTACTGTATGTAGGGTTTTATGAGCTTGTTGTTGTAGTATTATTAGTGAATTACATTGAGTACTTGAAGCTTTCATCAGTAAATGCCAATTTATGTGTCTGAACAAAGTAAATGCCAATTTATGTGTCTGAACAAAGTAAATGCCAATTTATGTGTTGAACAAATGATAAATGAATGTGAAAGAAACTATGAAAAATAAATTTATTGATCAAAAGTATGTTTCACTATCACTTACTAGAAGGTTTGTTTTAAACAAATAAATAAGTACGGGTAAATAGGTAGCGTTAGCTTGGTTTGTTAAATCCTTTTGTTTTGATGTTACTATAAGAATTAACATTTGTTTTAGCATTTCAGGTATGACTTGAATTCATTAATGTATCAGTTCTCAAGAACAAAGTTGTATGTCGAATTAGTGCAGAGTATATGTGGATTTATTGTAACAATATGTTTTTGTATACCTAAATATACTCACAAACACTCAAATGTTCTTGTGTTTAAAGCTCATTCATATCTCTTTTCAGATCTAAAGAGTTTTTAAACTCTATTGAAGAGTTTTGGCAATATTCCGTTTTTGATCAAGCATAAGTTCTTGTGTTTCAATATTTCTATGCATAGTATCTTTCACGGAATCATGGTACTTCAAAGTACTCTTCTGGTACTTAGTTCCCTATTATGAGTTTTCAACATCAAACTCTTCCAATAGGTTTTGCTTGTTAAGGTAGCTGGGAGCGGCACCTCACTATCGCTTGCAGTAGTTATTAGTACTTGCACGATACCTTAATACTCATCACATGTATCAGTGTTGCCAAAAACGTCAAATTTTAGACTAGACACAACGTCCCAATTTCTATGCCAAGAGAATGATAGAGAGGTACTGAAGTGAGAGGAAATTTTACACATGGCTTTTATTGGTTTGGAAGGGTTCCAAGAGAAGTCTTGTGGAAGGTGTTGTAGATGAAAGGAGTAAGGATTGCATATATTCGTACAATTAAGGACAACACGATGGTGCTACCACGAGTGTGAGAAGCCAAAATGGGGTAACGGGGGAATTTCCCATCGGTGTAAGATTGTCATTGCGAAGCCCATATCTTTTTCCACTAGTCTTGGGAGTGCTTACGGAGCATACCCTTGAACCCGTACCATGGTGCATGCTTTTTGCTGATGACATCATTCTTGTGTGAATCACAGTAGGATTTAAATGAGAAGTTGGATTTATGGAAATACGCTTTGGAGTTTCTTGTTCGCACCAAAATAGAGTATATGGAGTGCAAGTTTAGCAACAAATGGAGAAATACTAACATTGTGGTGAAAGTTAGAGACAATATTATACCACAAGCAGTGAGATTTAAGTATCTTGGGTGTATCATTCAAGACAATAGAATAATAGAGGATGATGCAAACCACATGAGTTAAGCATGTTGGTCAAAATGGCGGAGTGTTTCGGGCTTTATACGCGGCAAAAAGGCACCTTTAAAACTAAAAGGAAAATTTTATTGTATTGGGATTAAGCTAGCTATGTAAATGGGTGAACATGAACACATGGTTAGTGTGACCGAAATAAAAATATTTCGATGACACCTATTATTGAAAAGATGGTGGAAGCCCATCTTATGTGGTTTGGACATGTGGGGAGAAGACCAGTAAAGCATTCAGTGAGAAGAGTGGATCAATACGCGTGAATGATCTTGATGCGGATATGATACATGATAGGGCGCAATAGCATCGTTTGATCTATATTTGCGTCGTTTGGTGGGATAAGACTTGGTTGTTGTATCTATATTTGCTCTCAATGGATTTTTGACACTGTCGATGTGGAGGTTTCTAGGCATAGTATGGTCTTATTACAAGATCTTCACAAAAGTATGTTAAGCACATATGATCCAAACTTTGGTTGATTGAAACCCCGGACAATGTATGGTCTATTTGGAGCTATTAGGAACTACTTAAGTTGCTTTGGTCAATTTTGGACATTGTCGATGTAGAGATTTCTGAGCATAGTATGGCCTTATTACATGATCTTCACAAAAGTACGTAAAGCACATACTATCAGAACTTTGGTTGATTGACACCCTAGACAATTTATGGTGTATTTAAAGCTATTAGGAACTATAGAACATGCTTTGTTCTTTTTTGACGCTGTTGATGTGGAGGTTTCCAGGCATAGTGTGATCTTATTACAAGATCGTTACAAAAGTACTTTAAGCACATATGATCCAAACTATGGTTGATTGAAACACAAGACAAGGTATGGTCTTTTTAGACCTATTTGGAACTATTGAGGGTGCTTTGATCGATATTTGACACTGTCGATATGGAGGTTTCCGGGCATAGTATGGTGTTATAAAAAGATCTTCACAAAAGTGCGTTAAGAACATATGATTTAAGCTTTGGTTGATTGACACCAAACAAGGTATGGTCTTTTTAGACCTATTTGGAACTATTGAAGGTGCTTTGGTCAATTTTGGAAGCCGTTTATGTTGATATTTCCAGGCATAGTATGGTCTTATTACAAGATCTTCACAAAAGTACTCTAAGCCCATATGATCCAAACTTTGCTTGATTGAAATTCGAACAGTGTTCACTGTATGGTCTATTTAAAGATATTAGGAACTATTGAACGTGCTTTGGTCGAATTTGGACATTGATGTGGACGTTTTCTAGCATAGTATGGTCTTATTACAAGATCTTCACAAAAGTACTTAAAGCACGTATGATCCAAACTTTGGTTGATTGATGATAAGTCTGTTTTCTTCTTATGTTTTTACTTCATATTTTAAACATTATTGCACGTAACTTGTCGCTTTAGGAGCTAACCCTGGGTATGACCTTAGATAGGGTAGGCATTTGGGCGGTGATCTACCCTTGTGTAGGACTACATGCCTTTGTTGTACCTACATGTGCGCTTGCTTCTTTCGTGCTCCTAGCTTTGTTATTCTTTTTCCTTTACCCTTTTTTCTCTGTTTCTTCTGTTTTGAGCTGGTGACCTCCTGGAAATAGTCTCTTGGTGTGCGTAAACTCTCTCCCTAGATCTTATTCTGGGAATTTACTGAGTGTGTTGTTGTTGTTGTTGTTGTATATAAAGCTTGTGAGTCAGCTCACAGTTCATTTTGATGGTTTTCTGCCGTCAATTTCCAATTATTTCGTTTACTGGTGAAATTCACTGTCACCAAATGATATATATATATATATACATACATACATACATACATATATATATATACACATATACATACATACATACATACATATATATGTGTATATATATATATACATACATATATATATATATGTATATATATATATATAATGGCATGAACCGCCCTGAGAAGTAAGAGCATGAAGTTCATGTACATGCGCACAAGGATTTGTATAAACTTTTAATGTCCAGAAAATGCAGAGAAACTTTCAAAAGTATAATGAAGTATGATTTTCAAAGGAGAAGTAAAAATATGGAGCTAATTATACTAAGTCACCAACCTTAGAGTGAAACTCTTCAAGGAAGATAATAGAAAAAGAGTTCTCAATATGCCAAATACTATATGCAGAGAAAATAAGAGAGGATTCGTTTAATTGGCTAAGAATCTGAGTTGAGTGACCATTTTATTGTCATGCTTACAATATTTTGAATGCTTACTTCAGGAAGGAAGAATGCGGGGTCAAGCTTTTATTACATTTCCGACTGTTGAACTAGCTCAGAATGCCTTGGTATATCTTCTGATTTAAAATTAGTTTTTTCCCTGCATGTATTAAGTTATGTATTATTTGATGTTCTTTATATTCTCATATCCCTTTACCTTTGTGATTAACTTGATGAAGAATGCCACCACACTACCTACATTTTGGTGTCTGCAACAAATCTTGTGAAATTAATCAATTACTTACTACATAGGGAGTATAATGCATTGTGAAGGTAGCAAAGGAAAGGAAGGACACCTTTCTAGGCATTTCTCCTCTTTTGAACAGAAGAATTTGGGATTTTTTGGTGGGGTTTCAAACTCGGGTGGGGGATTGGGGAAGAGGGAGGGGAATCAGATGTGTTATGTAAAGAATATTTTGAACACTGCAATCAACTTCCTGGGCGTTTTTGCCCACTAATATGTGCGAAAAGCCACAAAAATGAAATGGACAAAGAAGCATATGAAGGAAATCCAATTTGCATTGCTAGTCATGTTTTTTCTCCTTTACTAGTTTCCTTCCTTTTCTCACCCATTTCCCTGAAACGAGCAACTTCAATTTCCACTGTATTTCATCTCTCTTTCCTTTTCTTTCCTCACACATCCTTTTCATTTCCGTCCATGCAAATTCCTAAAATTTTGAAGTTTTTAACATCCTACTTTAGAGTCTTCGCTGTTCATTAATGGTCCATACTATGTTGATAAGGAAATGGTAAAAGGTAAAAGGCTTCATAACTTAAACACTAGGATAATTTGGCACCTAGTGTTTAATGCTTTTCAAAATACTGATCTTTGTATAATAATGAGTTAGACCCTTCTTAATGCTTATAGAGAATAATTACTGCAGAACCTGGTTAACGGATATGTGTTCAAAGGCAAGCCCATTGTTATTCAGTTCGGTCGTAATGCTGCTGCCACAACCGGCTAATTAGTGCAAATTTCTTCTAAAAGAAATTTTTAGAGTTTGGCATTCAAGACTTCAATGGGAAAAGGTATGCATCTCAGACTTGTCTTCACCACTTCTGCATTTTAGTTCTCACTTGCATCACTTTGATTGTGCATCCTATAATTGTAAAAGTGCTTTTATCCCTGCAAACGTAGTGTTTTGTTGTAGGTCCCAGCAATTCTTTTTTATTTATTCATCCTAAAATTTGTTTCATTAATATGTCCCTTCTGTCAACCATTTTTTTGTATAAATAAAAATGAAAAGGGCTCAGCCCCATTTCAATTTTTGATAAATGCTTTTCTTTCATGTGGATTTTTTTTACCATAGAAAATTAATATACTCCGTAATTGAATTTTTTCAACCACGCCAGATTCTCATTTTTGGGAGGTCCTGATGCCAAATTTCCAAACAATAGGATGCCAATTTTTTTTAAAAATGTTTTGAAATATATTGCCTCGGGTGAGGGTTATCTGGCTAAAATGATTATTATATGCTGAGTGAAAGTAAATTCGTTTTATAAAATTCATTTTGCTTAGAAGCAGAATAGGACGACTTAGGTTATGGCATGAGCAGATAATTTATGTTGTGATATCAAACTACTCCCACACCGAAACAAAAAGGGAGAAAGATCCAAAATATACAGGTTCACCTAACTCATTAGTATGAGACCTTTTGGAGGTGCCCAAAAACAAATCCGTGTGGGCTTGGTCTAGAGCGGACAATATAATACTAATGCGGGGTTGAGGTAAAAGTACGCGTGGTCCCAACAATATATCACACGTCCTTAAAATGTAATATGCAGGTTTCCCTGACTAATTATAATTATGTGTTGTATTTAAAAATTTGTGTGTTTTAACTCTTTTAAATCGTGTCTTAACCCCCCCCCCCCCATACACCTGAAANTGTACAAAACATCACATTAGAAAATGAAAAGAACATTAAGCTGCACTCCATCCATCCCATAAAAAGAGTCTAATTCCTACAATTTATTTTTATCCCAAAGAAAAGAGTCCTCAATTAAAAAAAATTAAATTTGGTTATATTGACTATTTTCTTATAAAAGTGTCTCAAACAAGTTGAGTGTGTTAAATTTAGTCAAACCATCAAATAAAATTTTAGAATACACGTTTCAAATTTTAGTAGTTGTATGTTATCAAAACCTAAAAGTTGTACCTATGTGAGGGAGATTTCGTGAAGGATTTTCATGTTGTATTAAAAAATAAATTGAACTATTTAATGGCTTGTATTCAATATAAAATCTTATACTCCATTCTTCCTAAAATAAGTTTCAACTTTATTTTTTCATCCGTCCCAAAGTAAATGTCACACCATCCTCCTTTTCTTCTAAGAAAAGGAATGTGTGGCCCAAATCAGTTCCTTTTCTTCTATCCGGACTTAACTGTACATTTTTAGTTTTCAACAATTTTCTTAAATTCTTTAATGGTAAACCATGAAGTGTATTTTTAGATGGAGAGAGTTTTAAATAAGCCATTTTTTAATGGGAAATGCTTGGGTCACAAACAGAATGCTCACAAAATTCACAAACTTACTATTTGTGAACTCCAACAAAAAAAAAAATAGTCTAAAATAATTTTAAAATGAAAATTTAAACCATAAATAGTAAGTTTGTGAATTTTGTGAGCATCTTGTTTGTGAACCTAGCATTGCTCTTTTTTAATACTATTAAGATATAAACAAGTGTTGCTCACATCCGGATCTTAAAGCGTGTTTGTAGTACACAATTCGATGCCCTTAAAGTAGACAATGTTTATATTTTAACCTAAAAATATGCTTTGCAGGGATGATGACAGTGGAATGGAGTTTTCAGTTGCTTATATGCTTTTGTTGGGGATTCTATTAATTGTATTTAGCTAAGGCCAATATGTGAAGCCCGATATGTTGACCGAAGGAAACCCATGTGATATGGGTTGTGGGTAACCCGACCCGGAAGCGAAGCTCACCCGGAATAGTTTGAATGGAGTAAATGTGCAAGGCTATGTCAATTGAGGGAGGCGCCTCGTGCACTTCTAATTACAACCCGTGGTTAGCTCCACAATTAGTGGATCGTAACTATCAAATCCATTTGCTATAAATATATCTTCCCCAAAGCTTGGAGAAGGGATCCTTCTCAAAGTTGTTCTTATTGCTCTGCCCTTACTTTTCCATATTCGTTTACACTATAGGGCGATGCTAAATCCACCCCCTAATTCGCTAAATCCACTACATTTTTAAAAAGATGGACGCCTTTGTCCTTTCGTTTGTCCATTTAACACAAATGAGTGGATATAGCCAAAAATGGTATGAATTTAGCAATAACCTATGCTATATTGTATGTTTTCACGGTCTACTGTTGTGCTCAGTATATCAAAGTCCAATGTTTCTTGTTAAGTTGGCTGTTTTGATTGAGGCAAGTGTATGAAAGGGTCGAAATGATTTTTTGGCTTAATGTTTTAAATATTGAGAACGCTACAAGTAATAAAATTTTGCCAATTGGAGTAGCATTTTGGTTGTTACAATTTGGATGCTTCAAAGTATGCAAACTTGATAAACCAACAATGAGGCGAGTCAAGTTTGTGAGTACCAGCACTGAAAATTTAATCTCTTCTAATTTAAACTGTTCGTTTCAGTTTATAATATTTGATTAAAATTATTTTTAATGTAAAATATCTTGAAATTGGTGTGAAATTTCAAAAAAATGGAAAATTATATATTTTAAAATTATATCAAAATAAAAAATTCTATGAATCAAGAGGTGATTTGGTGATATTTTATTAAATGAGTAACAAAAATAAGTAAAAACAATAGTTAAAGATTGATCATGTAAATAGTTAACAGACAATTGTACTCCTTCCGTCCTAATTTATATTGTCTGTTTTGGCTTACGATATTTGATTGTTTTGGCTTACGATATTTGATTGAAATTATTTTCAAATCAATTTATATGAAAAGTTGTGTAGAATTAAAAAATTAAAATTACATATTAAAATACTATATTAAAAGATTTACAAAAATAGTAGTGACATGACTATTTTATTTTATCAAATTACTACCGAAAAAAGAAAAAAAAGTAAATGAAGTTTGATGATGTGAATTAGTAAACAAGCAATTTTATTTGAGACGAAGGGAGTAGTAAATTGGGATGCAAGGACTATTACACTGTGTAGGCTTGCCAATGGGTCGGGTATAGATTTGAACCCGTATAATGCTCACATTTTTTAGCGGGTTTAGGAGTATAAAAAAAAGTTTACCCGTACACAAACTTGTATCTGTTATTTTGAAAAAGTAAGGGCCGGGTATAGGACGAGTAGTCCCGACCTGTTTAAAACTTGTACCGGTTAAATAAATAGATAATATTAAATAATACAAAATCCTACCTCTCTTCTTCGCTACTCTCCTTCGCTGGTCGCATGGCTTCCAAATCAATTTGTATTTATTTCACCACATTAGAGGCACGCATACGTTACTTTATTTTTTTCATTCTGATCAAATCTCAAATAAATTGTATTGAATATAACTTTAGTGAAACATTATAAAGAAACAAATAATTTAAATTGAGACAGTAATTTTTTGTGAACTATCCACAAAAATTGAACATGCAAAATAAACTAGAAACCATGGAGTAATGTTTTTTTAAACTGAGAATATTATTATAGAGACATGGAAATAAAGTGTGGGGTGAACATTCACTCAATGCTCTCTACAAAATGAATAAGACAAACTAAGAAATATGTCACCTTAACACAAACATTCACTATATATATATATATATATATATATATATATATATATATATATGTATGTATGTATGTATGTATGTATATATATATATAATATTGGTTCTGGTGAAAATGTGATCTTATGAAAGAAATAAGAATGAATCTGGTGCTTTAGATTGTGAGATCTAAGAGTCAGGATTGTATCAAAATTATGTGCACCAAAATGGTTTGAAAATGCGTCATGTCGAAATGCACCAAAATTCTATAAAAATGCACTATCAAATTCTTATTTCTTTCACCAATGTGCATTCTCACGTGAACCGGCCTATATATATATATATATATATATATATATATATATATATATATATATATATATATAGTCCACAAATAAAGTTCCCATTGCGTTACGATATTTGACTGAGATTATTTTCAAATTATTTTATATGAAAAATGGTATGGAATTAAAAAATAAAAATTACATATTTAAAAACTACATAAAAGATCTACCAAACTAGATGTGACATGACTATATTATTTTATCAAATAAGACACAAAAATAGGCCAACAAAGTGAATAAAGTTTGACCCTGTGAATAGTGAACAGGAACTATATTGTTAGACGGAGAGAGTATATATATATATATATATATATATATATATATATATATATATAAAGAGTAGTTTTAATTGGAAATCGAAAATAAGAAAAAGGTACAAAAGAGGGGAGGACTAGACAAAAGACGTAAAGATGTATGTACATGAAATCTCGGATCTAATCTGTAGGATTGAAGGTTACACCCAACCGGCACCTAGGTACCGAGTTTACATGAATCATGGCCGTGGGTAGTGGTTTTGATTTCATAGAGTAGACTTGAGTCATGACCATAGGTAGTGACTCTAAATCCTAAGATAATATTGTGGATAATGATAAATTGGCCTTAGCCTAGAAAAGGTTATGAGCTAGTATTTGTAATGAACTATTGTAAGAACTTGAATGTTAAATTGATAACTTGTGCAGCTGAAAAATCGAGGTAAGTAACGTGTTTTGTGAATTGTTGATATTGTTGATATTATTAATGTTATACTTGTGTGCATGCTATTGTATGAAATTATGAGCTAGTGAGTTCATCTGTATGCATAGTTGAACGTTAGATATTTCTCACTTAGCAGTAATATTGAGCGTGTGGTGTTTGTTCTTTTGCTACACGTAGGTAAGAGGAATGGCGATTAAGGAAACAATCCTAGAGGGCAGCGAGGGTGGAGAGATAGATGGATGCCGGCTCAAGGAGTTTAATTAATTAAATATATCATTTAAATTTATTATGTTTTTGGGCAAGAACCCAAAGTTGTGTTTAAATTAAGTACGTAAAGGTTTCGCACCGTTCTTGTTAACTCTGATGAATTTATAAATATTGTTTTTGGGTTAAATGTTTTTAAAGTTGTTTTGGAATTAAGTTGTTTGGATAACAATTTAGTAGCAACCCATTTCGCAAATCCATTTATTCGGATTACGCGGGTTGAGGTGTTACATTACTATTATGCAATCTTTGTTTGTATATCCTTCGTGTAAGGATATAAGAAACCTTGGCGTTGGGACTATGCCAAGTTGTTGGGTAAAATCTTATTTTGTTTGTGTGGTCAACAAACATTAGGTAAAAATTTTGGTGTTGAGACTAAATCAAGTGGTTTGTAAAATCTTGATGTTGGGACTATGTAAAGTGGTTGATAAGAGCCATATGAGACTCAAATTCTCGAGTTGTAAGATTTATCAAACACAGTTAAGTTTGGTTGGGTAATGGAACCTTGAACACAATTGTATTGCGGGGACTAGATGTAGGCAGTAGGTCAAACCAGTAAATATTGTGTGTTGTTTCATCACTTTTACTTACTGTATTTTCTTTCATGATTTTTGTTTTTTTATCATCCTAGTGTGAAACGATTATCAAAATTTGTAAACACATTTATTCACCCCTATAGAGGTGCGCACTAATTTTAACAATAGAGACTTTTGCCATCATCAATAATAGAATTAAAAAAATAAATTTCTCGATAAGTTTGAAAGTGCATGCACAACTCTTTTGTAATTCATCTTCGTGATGACCAGCAGCTAGCCCTGGAATTTAATCCTTGGGTCGAATATTATTTGCACCAATTAAACGTCCCCCTGGTCATGAGAAATACACAAAGCCATCAACCAGACCCGTCAAAGCATCAACATATGATCTTAAGAAAGTTTGTTTGTGGTCGTTCCCATGAGAGCCCCTCTAAGATGTGTCACAATTTATAAACTTGGGATAAGTTGCCAATCACTCCTCGAAACTCGTGGGTGGTCAAGCCCACACCCCAAGGGAGAAACAACCTTAGCTTTCCAAATTCTAACATTACGAATTTATGGGCTGTCCAAATTTTTGAGAGTAAATGTAAGACTAAAGCTTGATCTTGTGCATTGAACTGACTGAGAACTGATAACAACCAATGCTGAAAGGTCCCTTACTCAGAGCATACCATCCAAGATAGAGAGCTCCCCCAAATCTACCATGCAAACTGAAAATAAATAAAGAGGTGCACACATTCTTCTGACCCGATAAAGTACCACACAGTTTGGAAAGAACTTGGGAACCCTTGCCAATTTATTAATGGATACAAGCCATTCTTCAGCTCTATATAGGTAGTGTGATGAAAATATTTAGTCTTAAACACATTTGAAGCTAATAAATTAGGTTGAAACATAACTTCCAAGCCATCTTTTCTAGCATAGCTAAGTTGAATGAACTCTTGACCCTTCTTAAAATCTAGGGTCCCAAGAACTTGTGTCGATCCAACGGGAAAAGTGTCTGATAAAATTAACCATTTACATGTTAAGTCAGGATCTACTTTCTAACCCAAAAGCTTAGGTTGATAGGTAGGGCATTACCCTTGTATATATGCTAGTGTTATTCTTCTTTATTTTTCAATGTGAGAACTCTAACAGATGAACATATTTTTATTTCATTACTATTAAATAAAATGCAACTCTGAAGTTTGAACATAGTAAAAATCCAGCTTGATAGTCGGGTGTAGATATGGTGTATTTACATAGAAATAGAGTAGCTTTTTCCAAAAGACTCCGCTCACACAACACTAATATCAATAATAAAATATGAGAGAGTCAAATAAAGCAAAGTCATCACAAAAATGCAAACAACCAACTGAAGTTAACAAAGGAAGAAAGCTCAATTATTACTCTCCATTTTATTTTGTGGCAGAGGGAATATCTATTAAGAGATTGTATTTCTTAATTTACTCTTATTACTTATTATTATTAATATCATTTTGAATCAATTAGATTACAAATAAATTTAAACATAATAATAATTAAATCATATTAGGCCAAATTTAATCTGACGTTAATAAAATCAAATCAATTTTAATTAAATTAGATAGAAGAAACAAACTCTCTAAAGTGTAAACCATCAATCCACCTATTTTTTTTTTGGAAAGTGAAAACAACTCTTTGGTCGGAGCACGTTAGGAAAAAACCAAGAGCCATAGATTACCTTAGATACGGCGGGGCCCACCAACCAAATTAAAAAAAGGATGCATCTCGACGTGCTCAAAAAAACATTTCTCGTGACCATCGGGTCCATCCATTGCCCACTTTATCCATTCGTTTTATCCAAACCTAAATTTTCGGATCCTCCCACTTCTTGGTCTCATTTCGCGACACGTGGCGAGATGACCGAGCACCCAACCTCGCTCAGCCGTTGGATTTGGATGCCACCATTTTGACCGTCGAA